ATATTATTACTCGCTGCGCTCGGCCGCGGCTTTGGCTTTGCGCGCGCGCGCTTCGAGGGCGCTTTATAATGGACCTATGTTGCACATCATTATAAAGTGCTTTTTTGTGTTTCTGCGACAAATCATTAAACCCGTATATCTATTTTTTTAAAAACAGTTTAATAGACCGACAACAGATTTCATTCAGAGTTCACATCTAAAAGTTATTGTTAACATTTTTCTTAACAACATTGCACCCATCAACCGCAAGTTACATAAAAGCCATCATTAGCAAAATGGTTTAGCTAAGGTAACAACATGAAGAAGAGAAAACAATTCATCAGTCTAAGTAATAACCAAATGCGTTCAACCAGCCCTCCACTTCGGTCATACCAACTGTGTCCTCCATCGCATTGTTGTCCAATGAATACTGAGTAGACGTAAATGGCGGCTCGAATGCATCTTCATCGATGTCTCCCAAGAATCCGTCGTCCATTTCATTACCGCCGTCTTCGTCATTGTCCTCCATGTCGGTATCCTGGCCTCCGTCCAAAACGACCGCTTCACCCCCATTATCCGACTCAAAGCAAAGCGTTTTCATACCTTCATCCGAACTGTCAGAGTCATCCAAAGTAATGACGGGCGGCTCTTCTTTGTCTTCAATGATGATAGGATTTTCGGCACTGCCAAGTGGATCGTCTTTCACGGTAATCACGGTTTGAGTGTTCGGGAACGTAAACTTCTGCGGAACGAGGACGCACTTTTTCACTGGCAATGGCGCCTTGAAGTGTGGAGACGGTGGAGTAGGCATAGTCGGAGGAACAGGCAGGGTGTCTTCAATGGTCGTACCGTCAGCGAACGTTGCCTGGAATGTAATAGTACCCGAGGAAACAATGGCGTGCTGGCTAACAGGAAACTCCATATGCATAGTAGTCGGCTGGTCAGCAGAGACAGATACTGCCAATGGTTGAGTAGGCTCAGTGATGACAGCCGCCGGCAATGGTGGAGTAGGTTGAGGTGGCTCAGTGATGACAGCCGCCGGCAAAGATGTAGCATGTTGTGTTGGCTCAGAGAAGACAGGTGGCGATGGTTGGGGGGTGGGCTCCCGCTGCCGGGTAAAATCGTAACCGCCAAAGTCCGGGGTTGGAGAACGGCTTGACGGTGGAGAGGGTGTTGGTGACTGGATTACCCGCTTGGCTTGGTTTTGCTTCTTCTTCGGCTTGGCTTTGGAAGTACATGGCTTCACTGATGACGAAGACTTGGCCTTGAGCTTCTCTTTCTTCTTTCGGTCACGCTCCACACTGCCTGCCATTATAATGGGGACCGTATCCAGTTGTAAGTTGGTACGACGCGGATCGGGAACAATGTCACAACTCAAGAAGGCAACCGACCACTAAACATATTATACGGATGTACCATTAATTTTGTGAAATGAAATAAAAAATCAATATACCTCCAACCGGTTGACCGCATGTAGCAAACGGTCTACCTCCTTTCCCGGCTTACTCCATGTACAGCTGCCGACAAACTTCTTGACACTTGCACACAGATCTAATAAATTAAATTTTCATTGTTTAAGTTCAAACCTTTTAACAAATAATAACGAGAACGTACCGATCTTATACTGGGCACACTCCCGTTGCTCTTGCTCCGAAAAACCGTCCCACTGGGTTTTCAACCCCTTGATTATACCTAACAATATTTTTTTCTTAGAACAATAATATTAAATAGTTTTAATAATAAAAAATTAAAAAATTATAAAGATTTTTAAAAAAGGGATAAGACTTACCACATTGCTGGCGGCACCACTCCTGATAATCCGCAAGATACTTGAAGGGAGCCATGGAGTAAAAGATAAACTGAACTAACTGAAAATATGAGGAAATCCAGGCAGGTATTCCAAGGTAGGTGGATTGGATTAAAAAAAACTTTGGAATGAAAAAATTTGCTTGGCCGCTGAGGTTTTATACTCAAAAAGTGTAGGTTTCAACTCTCAAAATTTAAAACAACGTATTAACTATTGTTTTAGTTACTTGTACTACGCCACCCGTTAACTGAACTCTGTTGACCAGACTAAAAATTGACGTTTAGACTAGTAACCAACCGTAACGTTTCACTGAACAATACCACCATTACTTGTATTACAGAAAGTAACTGGAACGTGCTAATATCAGAGAGAAACCTACGTGGGCGTACTTCAGTTTCAAATCAACCAGTAAAAATCGTTCCTAAAACAATGAGTGACTGAAACGCGCTAATATCAGAGAGAAACCTACGTTGGCGTACTTCAGTTTTGAATCAACCAATAAAACCGTTCCTAAAACAATGAGTGACTGAAACGCGCTAATATCAGAGAGAACCCATGTGGGTGGGCTTAAACTAATACGAGCGTACTGATACAACAGCCAGCTATTACACAGACTTGAAATTGGGCATCGGCTTCACGCGCACACACCGAGGGAGCGCGTGGTCCTCGCTTCGCTCAGACCACTGTGTTACGTCACTAGCTGTCTTATTAACCCGGATACTAATGAAACCTCTGTTGATAAAAGGGTTTTGTTTTATTGACCCATAGACCGCTAGTGTATAATTTGATATACAATAACCTCCCGACTACAAACACGTTGAACCCGGATTAAAAGCATTTAATATTCAAAGAACGATGCCACTCATCTCATAAAACAATACGGTAGTTCCGTATTCATGGAAAGCTAGCCGGAGCTAATCATGACATTCTTTTACTTAATGAATGGGCACAAAATGTAATAGTATCTTAACCTATACAGCCGGACCTATCCTTGTTACAATTAAACCAATACAGATAGACTAAAAACTTGATTTAATGACTAAGCTAGACAGAGTTTCTTCGTGCTTATAAACAAGCTAGACAGCATAGTTTAATACAAGGCACCACACACTGTGTTTGACGTAGTTTAATACAAATCGCCACCCACTACAACATAACACAGTTGGCTAGTACAACATTAGTACAACAGTAGTACAACATACCACAACATTAGTTCCAGGCTAAACCTCTACCACAAAGACACAAGACAGTGACCAATAGTTCAAGTTTAATACTCCTAGTAATGCTGTACGTGGGGACGACGAATCCGACCCATACGATAATATCGCAGTATAACTAGGGGTTGGACTACACGGTGATGAACCAATAGCTGGCGAGCACACTGTGCTAGGGGTTTTACCTTGAGTTGACACGACTAATAGATACTATATAAACCCTAGCATTTCAGTGCGGCTGTTCAGTTGGTAGCCAAAATGGATATGACACAGATGAGCAATCGCTTCGGGAGTTTTGAAAACTGGCCGGATCAGTCCCTTGCCCCTGAGGAACTGGCAAGCCAAGGGTTCTTTTATCAAGGGCAGCATGACGAAATCCACTGCGCGTACTGTGGCTATATTATGGGTGACTGGGTGAACTCACGGTATAAACCATACTACCGACACCGTTTAGCACGTCCAGACTGTGTTAGGGCTATGGAGGAATCCGGATCAAGAAAACACATTCCGCACTCACCGGCAATGAAAGACTATAAGATACGCTTTGCTACTTACGCTGAATGGCCTGCTAACAAACACCAGCAACCCAGAGATATGGCTGCAGCCGGTTTTTATTATGAAGGCCGAGATGACTGTGTACGCTGCTTTCACTGTGGTGGTGCACTTTATGCTTGGGACAAAGATGATGTTCCGTGGGAAGAGCACGCTTGGACTTACCCGAAATGTCCGTATCTTGTACAAACAAAGGGCTCAACATTCATCAACGATGTTCGTAAAAAACGCCAAGAAGCCGAAACAACCTGTTGTGGACTAACACGAAAAGCTCAAGCACCTACAACTTCTGAAGACCACAAAGAGAAATTACGCTGTAAAGTCTGCTATGAAAATGATTCGGAAATCATGTTCAGACCATGTGGTCATTTAGTTTGCTGTGCAAAATGTTCAAGCAAGCTGCTGTTGTGTCCGATTTGTCGGGGTGTCATTTTCCATAAGTGCTGGGATTTCTTCTGTTAGTTTTTATTGTCTGTATCATGCATGTTCATTCATGTTCATAGAAAAAAGAGGGTGGGGAAAAATAAACCAAAGAAAGGGGAACAACCGATTAAAAACCGGCTAAAAACCGAACCGATCACGAGCCGAACCGCAGACCGGTCGAAAACCGGACCGATTCGGAGCTGACGCTAAACTAGCGCTATATCTTCTACCGTTGCATCAATACAAAAATTTATTTGTGTGACTGTACAGATAAGCTAATGCCCAGGTTACAGCTGCTACGTTCGTAAAATTGCAGTATTATAGATACCCTTTTGAGAAGTTAACAATGTTATCAAGTGGGTCTCGTTTCAGCGCTTCATACGGATTTATAGTGGACTACAGCGATTCGTACCGGCTAACTATAAAAGCAGTCAAATGGGAAGCCGGATCGGATGCCTTCGAAGCTAATAACATATTGCTTAAATGGGACAACGAAGAAGCGCGGAAGAACATTTGAAATTCTGGTTATCTTTGCCAATGAAATAAAAGATGCATGAATGTTGTCATCTTAGTAAACATTTACGGAACGAAAATTCTCTTGGTAAATGCAGCAGTTTTTTTCGCACGACACTTTCATGAGTCGCGAGAGGTGTAATCGAAGTTATCATAACCAGCTGCGAAGCAAAATTGGTGTATACAGATTACAGAAACAGGCAAACCGTTATTTTTTCCAGAACTGGTAAATGACATCACGTAATAACGAGCTAGTAAAAGCAATTCGTGACGTTTCCAGGAAGCTCGTAAGTCAAATCGGAAACGATTTACTGCTTACAAAGTACAACTCAACAAGTGAGCGCATACACTGACAAATACCCTTGCAGTAATTCGCGAAAAAAAAGACTGATGTCAATGGACAAGTTGTATGCTTTTTACTGCTTCGATTTTACCAGTTTCCGGTACGAATGCTTACGTTAATGAAATCACAGCTGGTATTTTGGTTCTTCAATCTTCGATTTTACTTTTTTTTACTACGGACTATGGTTCTTAACCTGTGAGTACGATTGGTTCACAAAATTGGTCTTTTACTTCTTTTGACTTTTATCGTTCATTAAAACTTAAAAGGCATCATACAAGAGCGGCGTCTTCCTCATTACGTATCCAATTCGCGACTGCTTGAAGTTTGAACGGTGCTAATTTCGGATACGATGTCGAAGCGTGAAGATCCTCCTGCAGATGATTGTCCCGCTGACGCTGTCGAGTTTCTGCGCGGACTACGTGATCTGCAGTCGACGGACACCTTCTGCGACGTCGTCTTGAAAGGGAGCGACGAATCCTGGGTCTGCATTCCTTGTCATCGCAGTGTGCTCAGCGTGCAGAGCCCCTATTTTCGCGCGGTTTTTTCTCTGAATTGGAAAGAATCTTCTGAACCGGAATACAAGCTGAAGCCTGAACAACATCGACAACCGCACGTTAAAAAAGTGAGTACCACTGTACCAGCAAGTCAGCAACTATGTAACACTGTTAATTCTGCTAAGTTGGATTAAGGATCAGTCATAAGTCTCGTAACACTACACAGCTGTCTTTAGAATATGAAATTTCCCGGTTTAAATTATGTTTTTCTTGACCCACTTGTGCAGATTGGTGAAGTTTGCTTACACTATGAATCTGAGCCTGAGCGATGACAGCGTGGTGCCCATCTTGATTGCGGCACAGTTTCTGCAGATGACTCCAGCGGCCCGAATGTGCTGGGATTACGTGGAGAAACGCATGTGCCTTGCCAACTGTTTGGCCGTCCACACTCTGGCTTCTCAGCACCACAATCCCCGTCTGGGCGACGCAGCTCTGTGCATGATTTATCCACACTTTCTGCGCTTTTCGCATAGCCACGACTTTCTGCAGATGGACGCGCAACAAGTACATACTAAGTCTGACTGCCTGATTGAAGATGATAATTATACAGTTTGAGACATTACGCGCGCTTTATCTGAACTCAGATTCACTTGAAGTTTGCATTGTTTTCTTTAACCAAAATATGTGGCACCAATGCCACAATTCGAATACCACAGTTCGCATAGGTTCATGAATTTATTTGCAGTTGACTGCTCTGATCGCGTCGGATGACGTAGAGGTATTCAGCGAGGATCACGTGTTAGATGCGGTGCTGCGCAGGTTAAATTACGACCGTCCCGGCCGACTAGCGCACGCGCAGACTGTCCTGCACATGGTCCGTGTTGCCTTTTCCCTCCCTGCCCCCCCTGCCACTCGCGAATGCTGCTCACTCGCGAATGCTGCTCACTCGCGAATGCTGCACACTCGCGAATGCTGCACACTCTCGAATGCTGCTCACTCGCGAATGCTGCTCTGAGCTGGCTGACCGAGTTGCTGTGTAAAAGTCCACCTTACACAGCGGTTATACTAAAATCTGGCGTTTTCTTTTTGAAAACTGCCGTATATCATCTACCAAAATACGGAACCTTTATCTTTTGCCATCAACAACATCACCGGATTGTTTAACCATGAGTGATTCCACCCGAAGTAACGCCCGTCCAATCCGGCAGGAAGAACGGCTGACGCAGTACTTACATGACGTGGTATTTTGTATCGTACAAATTGATTTAAATACTATTATTTCCGCTAATACTTCTCGTATGAAAATACTTCCTCCTAAATGGCATAAGCTCCATCAGTCCGCACCGGTTCGTTTTCACTCTTTTCTTGGCGATTTTTGTAATCAGCTTATTTCAGCATGCGACCGTGGTTTATGGGCAGCCCATGAAATTTTAGAATTGTTTGCATGGGGATTAGCAGAATATGCGTTAACTGTGTTAAATTGCCAACAGTCTACTGGCAAATTTTTCAGTAAGAATGCTAAATTCGCAGTACCAGCAGAATTAATCAGGGAAAGGGAAATGGTGTGCACTGAAATTAATAAGCTTAAAAGGAAAAAGCGTAGGATGAAGGTGTTAGACCGGGAGTTTTTGCTTTCTTATGCAGAGCGTCTCCGTTATTTAAAATCTATCAGGAAGACACTTTCCGCTGAAATCGTTCAGCTGCGTTTTAGTGCCGAGCGATCAGAAAATGACAGCTGGTTTAAAAAGCGCAAGTGGAATTTTATTAATGTTAATGTAAAATCTTCATCTTCAGCTCCTACTGATGCGTTAAAGATGGGAGATATTGAAAGTTATTTCGAGAATATCTGTAATCCGCAAAACCTCTCTCCTCTTGATTTTTCTTGGATAAATAAATTAAAACTCAAACCTATAAACACCGGCTTTGTTGAGGCAGATATTTTACCCGGAGATGTAAAAGCTATTTTATCTCATAAGGATGCATCGGCCGGTTCCGGGTTAGACGGTATTAACTATTCCTTTCTTAAGCCGTACCCGGAGGTTCATAAATGTTTGGCTGCCATGTTCAATCGACTATTGTTATCTGGTACAGCGTGCAGTTCGTGGAAAGTAGGTAAAACGGTCTTGCTATATAAGAAAGGGGACTTCGGTATGCCGGGAAATTATCGCCCAATTACTTTGACTAGCTGCATCGGGAAAGTCTTTCACTCTGTTATCTCCAGTCGCTTAATGTCTTATTGTGTGAAGAACAAAATTATTGACACGGATGTTCAGAAGGGCTTTATTGAGGCCACGAATGGATGTGGTGAACATTCGTTGAAATTGTTAAAACTGATCGAACAACAAGGATCGAAAAGGCATGCAATGCACGTGGCCTGGCTTGACATCGCAAATGCTTACCCTTCTATTCGTAAGGAAGTACTTTTAGCAGCTCTGCGTCGATATAAGGTACCTGAATATATAGTTCAGTATATCGATAACTACTATACCGGCTTTTCTGTTAAAATAAGTTATAACGATAAATTTTCAAAAAATATCCCTTTCACTGTTGGACTGTTTCAAGGTGATACAATGAGTTGTGCGTTGTTCCTTATTATTTTTAATTGTATTCTTGAATTTCTTGAAGAAAATAAAAAATGCGGGATTGCTTTTGATTCTTTACCGGAAAAAAAATTATTGACCTCGCTTTCGCTGATGATTTGACCCTAATCACGAATAACAAATCTAGCATGCGCAGGCTTCTTCGTGAAATTACGATTCGGGCAGAATCTATCGGCCTTAAATTAAATGCTGATAAATGTCGTTGTTTCTCATTATCTGACGGAATTTCTTGTGAAACCGCTTTCGAAATTAATGGAGAAAAAGTTGCGAATATAACCGAAGACCCTATGAAATTTCTCGGTGTTCACATTTTTAATAAAAATCAATCTTCTGCGAGCGGCAATTTAATTAATGCGTCTTTTAATTCTTTGATGGAGAAAAGTTGATCGTCTTAATTTGCGTAGCTTATTCAAAGTTCAAATTTACGATGAGTACATCGTTGCTTGCATGCGTTTTGTTTTGACTATGCATGACCTTTCTCTTACTGCAGTGAACGAGCTGGAGGCTACAGCTAATAAATTCCTTAAGAAATGGCTTGGTCTGAAGCAGCCTGCAAATTGCGATTATTTGTATGTAGGGCTGGAGTTGAAATCAGTAAAGTCGGTATATCAGCAAGGGCACGCTGCATTTATTGCGGATGCGCTGTGTTCCACTGACCTTGTTGTGGCGCAAGTAGCAGGCGACCTGTGAGTTCGGCGTGTTTAAATGATACAGCTGTCGTGGACATAGTCCAGACTACTGTAGCTGCAGGTAGAGAGCGAGGGGCAAATAAATCCGCAATCAGAAAGCTGGTAAACAAAAAAGTCAAGCAACACGTGTCGCTGGCAAAAGAGAACAGGCTAGAGTCGTTGATTCAACAGGGCGCATGGCACGAAGTAACAAAAGCACAGATAGCTGATAATTTCTGGAAATCTGTTTTATATGACTTGGCAGAGAAAGTAGTAACTTTTATGATTGAAGCGGCTCTTAATATCTCTCCCTCATTCACTAATTTACTTAAATGGGGAAAAATTGTCTCTGCTAAGGGTGACTTGTGTGGTGCTGATAAAGGATCTCTCTGTCATATTATTAACAACTGTCCGGTTTCTTTGAATGGTCATCGCTACACCTGGCGTCATAACAGTGTATTGTCTGCTGTATTTCAGTTTCTAACCGGTGTGGCTGATAAAAATAAATGGGAAATTTTGAGCGATTTAGATACTGATAAATACGAGAACCATGTCAGTACTATTCCCTTAGATGTTTTGCCCACTGCTTTGTGCCCTGACTTATGCTGTATTAACCGCATGGAGAAACGTATTGTTTTAGCTGAGCTGACTGTTCCCTATGAGACTGTTAACGGATTCGTCAATGCGGAAGCGAGGAAACGTACACGCTACGCCTCCCTAATAACTGAATTGAACAATGCCGGATGGCGGACCGAGTACTATCACCTGGCGGTAGGCTCGCGGGGAATGGTCGCCCGTGATGCTATGACAAACATTAGTAGAATCGCCACCACCATCCGACAAGCTACTAAAACTCTCCAGCTTAAGCCTTTGTTTAAAAATTTGGCCGCTATTGCGTTAAACTGTACTTATATTATTTTCCTTAATAAATCTAACAAGGACTGGATTGCCCCAGGTCCGAATAAGTTGTTCACGTCTTGTTTGCGTTAGCCGTTTACCTTCCTTGCCGGTCGACCTCAGCACGGTCGATAACGATGCTGTCCTACACTGATGCTCATGTTATCCACTGATGTTGTTATGATATTGATGTTCCGTTACACCTTACCTTATTGCGATTGTTTAGCTATTTCCGTGTTAAGTGGGTTGTTTTGCGGCAAAGTCTGGACAGGCCATAATCTAAAGTTTCCCCGACTTTCCTTTTTGTGGGTTTGTGGGTGGGTTTTGTGGGTGGGTGGGTTTGTGGGTGGGGGGGGGGTGGGTTCAGTGCACTGTGAAAACATTGAAAAAGTTTTGGCATTGCCTCGTGGCGGAGAAAACTCATTATTACATTAAGTATTATGGATTTCAGGTTCCAAGGAAGTGATACTGTGCGTGGGCCGTAGTGCATCTAGCGGTTACGCTGATGCCGCAACCACCGTGGACATCTTCAGCCCATCAATACCGGCCGTGTGGCGCTTGAGAAATCTGCCCATTGGCACGTACGCGACAGTGCTGCTGAATACTGGCACAATCATGATCCCTCACCTTCGTGGCCGCCTTCTCATACACCGCGAAAATCATTACCTGGGTCTACGTGACGTTTGGTACAAGATAGCCGAAATGCGGATACCACGCTGGCAAGAACGTTTTGGCGCGCTAAATGGTCGCATTTACGCCATCGGTGGCTATAGGGATACAAATCGTTACGATGGAATCTGTCCACAAAAACCACTGACATCCGTGGAAGTCTACATTGCCAGGACCGATACCTGGACCGCGGTGGCACCGCTCCCCGTTGCTCTGCTCCGAGTGGGGGTGGTGACGGGTGACGATCGGTTGTTTGTGTGCGGCGGAATGAGCGGCAAGGATGTCAGTAATTATGCTTTCTCTTACGACCCCGCAGCAGATGCGTGGACCAGACTGCGCGAGATGCCGACCGCACGCACCTTTTGCACGGGGTGCGTGGCGGCCGACGGGTTGATCTTCGGTGTGGGTACGGATCGTAACTTGTAAGGACTGCATGGCGTGATTGAATATTTCTTGTGATATTTATTACCAAGGTGGCGAATATGATGCGGAACGGTGTGTGCGAGTGGATGCGTATGATCCCGTCAACGATCAGTGGGTGAGGAAAGGTGCGTATGATTGTCGTCGTAGATTAATAGTGCTTATCGGTGTAAGGGGGTAGATGTACAATGGAGATTGTGATGTCAGACTTGTCAATGTTGCTCTGGATCACAGGTGATTTAATAAGAAGTTGCGATTTTCTCGGATGTGCATGGCTGGATGGAAAGGTGTACGTTCTTGGCGGGGATGAAGAGGAAGGGGACGGTGATGGCAGTATCGAGGTGTACGACGAAGATACCGACAGCTGGGCCCTGCACGAGTGTCGACTGCCGCAGGCCAAGCGTTGCTTGAGCAGTGTTGTAATGAAGTTGAAACGCGGGTAATGCGAAGGTCTCAAGGCCGTAATTGCGTTTTAGACAAAACGTTCCGGTTTTTCTGTTGGAAATTTCTTTGAACTGGATTCTGTTGGAAAGTGTTTTCGACAGTTTGCTGTAGATAGTAATTTTTGCAAAATGCATAAAAAAAGGAGTGAAAAGACGATGCTTTAAACTGGTTTCTTTGTGAAGTGAAAGGAAGGGAAACAGTAAGCTTAGCAAAGACGAGGCTACTCGTAGAAAGCAGTACGACCAATTGCGAAGACGTGCATCAAAGCCAGTATCTGTACAGTTTGGTGCTTGTTCGAGGTACGCACGAAACCCTGCAAATAGCTAAAGCAGCTTTCAATAAAACTGATATAAAAAATCTTCAGATCTAATTTTAATTTTTGACGTTTATTTGCGATACTAGCACGGACGAGCCTCGCTCACAAAAATGCGATCAAATGAAAAATTTGCCCCAGTTGGCACGAGAAGGAACAAACTTTTCAGTCGATGATTCAATTGAATGGTATCACATGCGGATAATAGCCCCACCCGAGGGCGACAGTAACCCCTTCACCGCCGGCATCCCGAATATATTTTCTTCTCGCCGCTCTCCTCATACTTCGACCGAGAAATTCGGTTACCGATTAAATAATTAACTCCAAGTGATTAAACTTAAAAGTAATAACTGAACTATACAAAGCAGAACAACTGTATTGTACAGCGAGTTATTCTTGTATCAAAGACTTACCGGTAATGTTACATAATATCATCACAATTAAAGCCGCATTTTATCAGTTCGCATCAGGCTGATAAAATCAGCGATAATCTTGAGCCGCCATTACAGCATTGCACATATGTGCTGAAAGGCGGTTTGGTTTTCCTTTAATGCATGGAAATATTTTCTAGCACGCCAGTTCAGCCAAAACTGCAGTCGCTGTAGCAGTTTAGGTTGCCGAATACCGGTTAATTTTGAGCGACGATTCTTCCTACTCGTAATCTGTGGGATATAGATATCCCGAGAACTTTCCGCCAAGCGGTTGTTGTGCTTCGAAGTAAACAGAAAAATTTAACATCATTTATTGCTGTTTGCATTTCCGAAAGCAACAACACGGGTCAACAAATTTGACGGATTTTAGAGAGTATTTGAAAGAAATCTTGGCAAAATGGACATGAGACAGGAGCTGTACGAAACCGATATTTCAGTGTTAAAATGCATTTCCATTTCGCAGATCACACTAAGCATCCTCCTTCTCGGCCTCAGCATGTTCAGTAAGTGCTAAAGTCTTAATAAAATTATTGTTAAACTGCTTCGTAGCTTTTAAGTGCAGTCTGTACTGTACATACTCGCATTCTCCTTTCAGCCGCGACTATCGACCTCGTGACGCAGATCGGTCTTGGTTTCGCGTACCTGTTGTGGTACATCCTTCCCGCCGAGTTCATTCTCGGCTTCCTGACGCTCTTCCTCGGATCCTACGGAGTATACATGATCCGCAATGAAGTCCGTATCAAGCGACAGTTCGATATTTTGTCGGTCACCAGCATCATCAACTGCATACTGTGCGTCTTCATCTTGGTGTTTGACGGCTTCACTGTGGCGTTTCGCCTGATCGCCTTTATGCACGGGGTCTACTTGTACGGAATGGCCCGTACCTCGTCGTTTCTGGATATCCTGGTGCAGTCGCTGGCGATTGTCATACTGGTCCTGAGTGCCAAGACCGCGCAGATCACTCTCTTTCATGCCGGCATGCTGGCGGGAGGACCACAGGTGGCCACGGAGAATGTCCGTTATCGCAACGAGAAAGCGTCGGGCGCGGAAAAGCCTCTTCTTGAAGTGCCATAAAGATGAATTAATATCAGTATACGTAAATTTTCTGGGTGCGATTAAGCGAAATCCGTTGCGGTTTTCTCCTTTATTTCGAAAAACCGTGTTTAATAAAAAAGTATTAAAAAAATAACGATAGACAACGATTTTGCTGTGAGCGGATGCTAGTTCATAATAAAAGCAGGATTTATGAGGTCAAGTTAAAGTATCGCGACCGTTTTTTAGAATTTGAACACTGCATAGCGATTTTCAGTTTAGATGCTTTCGCAACATTGTCATATTCTGCTTGTCCCCGGCAACGTCAGTTGCCTCACAATCTGCTTAATTGCTGGTCTTCGATTTCTGTACCCTTCAAAAGCATTTCATCGGAGTTTTCTCGTGCACGCAATTGCAACTGTGGTTTAACTTGTACCGTTTCGGCCGTATCCTCGTTGTTTCTGGATGATACCGTAACATAATACGAACATGTTACTCGTGCCTATGAATTACAGTACTGTCTGTAAATCCCGTGTTGCTGCACGTGAGGATGCACGTTTCCTTCCATTGTAGTCACGACTCACGAGTAACGTGCCAAAGCTGTAACCAACAATCGCATATGCTGGTTGGTCGCGCGATTGCTTCTGCTGTGGTTTCGAAAACATCGCGGGGATTTTACGAGTCACGAATGATGGTAATATGAAAATTATGATTGCATTTTTAGACAAGCTGTTTGGAGTTGATCCCCACAATAGCGATCACCAAAATACCCACCGGAACCACAGAACCACGATGTATGTACGTTTACGTCATATTTTTTTCTAAATCACTTATCACCTTGCAAGCCATAGGGCCGTTGTTGGTCGATGTAACGCACTCATCCCATTTTTTCACAAACCAAGCACACTATTATTACAGTCACTTTTACCGGCACAGTAAGACACTTTCTAGCATAGAATCTTGACCTCTTCTCGTTTAGCGGCCATCCCACTAATATTTCTAGCTTGAACAGCCACGTAGATAGTTATAGACATCAACACTATGGGTGGCAGAAGCATAAGCAGACCGAAAAGCCAGGCTTCCCAAGATAGCGGGCTTCGTACCAACAGTGTGCCCAAACCCAGGATCTGGCAGCCCAGTGCCATGGCCGTCAAACAGGAGCTGATGATATTCAGTAGCGCCAAGATTTCCATGTAGCTGCTGCTCCGAATCCGGCGGAGAAGCATGTGAAAACCGAGAGACGCTGCGGTTATGCTATACAGGCAACTGACCAACAGTAACAGCATCGTGCGTCCAAACAGGGCATACCGAGTGTAGATCCGAGTCAGAATGCCAAATGAAGCACCTAAACAGATAGATAAAAACTTTATACGCAGCACTTTCGGTTACCAAGAAACAGTTTTACCAGTAACAGGAATGAAGAAGCCCAATATAAACTGCAGCACAAGGCAGCTGATTATCGCTTTGGAGGAATTAAGTGTTTGTGTCTCCATCTTCCGCAGGTCTTTTTTTATCCGGACAATCAAATTGCTTGCTTTAACAAGCACAGTGCAGTAATTATACGTTACAGTGTGCGGTGTTTAGTAGCCCAGTTAAAGACTTAAAGTAGGCAATAAAATTCAGTTTGTAAACATATACATCGCGTTGGTTGCGGAGAATCTTTCCCAGTGATTGCATAACGGTTAAATCATCGCATGTCTTTTGCGGTTCTTCACCGAATGAAAGCCGCAGATGAACTGTAATTTTAATCTGTTTAAAGGATCTTCGCTTGAACATCGCGATCTTTAGAGGTACAAAATACGGTGTGCCGGCTTTTATGCAATCATTAATCTAATGTATATTCTACAGTTCTAACCGACATGTACGGTTTTAACAACTACAGTATTAATTAACTTGTAGGTACCATACTTGTGCTTGTAGATTGAAACGTACACTGGTCGTAATCTGCGGATATTTATTTACTTTCGCGTCCCGGATTGTTTGCTTAGAACCTCGAAAGTTTTAACCAATCGCAAAATTTTAACTGTTCTACATCCGGCGATCACTTCTAATAAACTCAAAGAAGTAGGAAATTTGTTAGAATGCAATTACTTTTGATTCTGTTTCTGTCATTCATAGCATAAATCAAGGCTAAAAAACATCAAAATCATGGCACTCACATTTTGACTTAACGAAAAGCCATTTAAATAAAATATCTGCCGAAGCTTTAATTATTAACTAAGAAATAACATTTCGCAGCGAGTGATGAGTTTAGAAAAATCTTTACGGTGCATTAAATAACCACATAAATTCAGCAAGAGGATTCGCGATACTGACTTCTCTGGAAATTGAGAAGCTGTGGCCTTTTTGTTTCCTTTAAGCTTATGGTATTTTGTTGTGTTGAGCTTTTCTTGGGCGGGATGACGGTGTGCTTGAAAGAAAACAATTTCAGAAGCATCACTGTAACTGCATGCCGGTAATCTTTACACATGATGAGGAAAGTCACCTAGAACGATAGAATTTAATTCGAAGGCTATCAAAGACATTCAATAATTACTCGTACCGGTAATCCAGCGCATCCAGTGTAATAAAGCAATCGGAGCCACAGTACAAGGGTTGGATTTTGCGCATGAATTCCTTGAAAATATGTAAGACTGACGATATACGGCAGATAACTAGCTGTGAACCACATCGTAGACGCAAACAACATCTTTACAATTATCAATCGCCTTTTCATAAGCTTTAAATTACCCACTAGGGCCACCTCGTCGCTGTTCCCTACCTTACGACCACCGCAAAACCTGTTGCGAATTTCTACCAACATAATTGTGAAGTAGCACAGAAAGGTCAGGCCAATCGGCAAATATAACCCAATCGTAAACAAGATCATCGAAGCAGCGTTCAACGGATTGCGATAATTACATCCCCGCCATGGGGCAAAGGTCACGACGATCTTTCCAACAATTTCCAGGATTATGGGAAGATTGGCCGTAAAGGGAACCAACCAGCCGAGGACTATAATTAAAATGATAACACGGCGCGTCCTCCAGGCGGCATACCTATGGGGATTTACAATGGCAATAAGGCGGTTCACCGCCAGGAAACACTGCGACCACTGACCGGCATCCACAACCCATAATAATCCAAAGTAAAAATAGGTACATCCGGTTGGACCAATTTGGAGTCCGGGAAAGTACATTGTGAAGGATAGGGTTATGACGAAGCCTCCACAAGTTATAGCCTGGATCAGTAGCAAATGAATTATCAGCACTTGGCAGCCCCAGTGAACTTGTCGATGAAAAAATATCGATGCAGCTAGGATCATGGAGAGAATACCGCCTGATAATCCCACAAACAGATTACTGGCAAACCAAGCCGTAAAGGCTGAGTGATAACGAATCCATGCCGGGGACGCACCGGGAAAAGATCCATTTACAGAAATATTGGAAAAGTTCATGTTAATTGTCAGTTATTACGGACACTTTATAAGGGAAAGAAATCGTTTTTATACCGTAGATAAATGAAACCTCATCTGTAATTCAAAATTATCGGAATAAGTGACTCCGAAAGACACAAAGAGGATGCACATGGAAACTTGAAATTGTATTATATCTGAAGATCTATATTATGGTTGTTGTACTAAATGTCGACCATGACGATAACTGCGAAGTCGAATGGACTGCAAACATGATCAAAATTTGCTACATGACAAAGCGATGAAGCGCGTTCACAATACGAAACGCCAATTAATCACAGGTGTATGTGATTAAAGGATGTTGTTCAAAGTTATTGTACCGTTCATACCTCCTGGAAAAGATTTGTGAGCACAGCTATTTTCTGCGTTCTGGGAAAACTCATTCTGAAATATATTATCCATACGTGGGAGCCGTGATGAAATACGCAAATCCTCGTCCAATACTGTTCTTACGACAAAGAGAAACGAGAAATATTTCTTATAGTCAACCGGCATAGCAGAGACATTTTGATGGAAATCGAGCAGGTAGGCGTTATCTGGTTTCGGAACAACAAGACATACAAAAGCTTGACGTATCTTAAAAAGAGTCTTCTTAAAAATGTGGAATAGGGACCCCCATGGGAGAATCTCCGGTATTTCGGCCACATGTCGTGTGGCCGTCATTCAATTTGTCCGCCAGCATCGGCGTTATTAAAGGAGGTGGATACTGTAATTAGCCATATGCATTACGAGGTGTTTGCGTTGTCTCTTTCAAACCCTTTCGTTCAAACAAAAATCACACAGTTGTATTATTTTATTAAAACATGATGAGCTACTTGGCAACCGCTACCGCCATTAATTTTTATGACCAGCTTCTCTAATGACCTTTCGCAAACCATTCTTGCGCTCCTGATTAAAGGCTTCAGGTTTTAATTACTTTCATACAGCCGCAATGTATTCGTTGTGACCAAAAGCGGATTACCAGGGTCCAGTGTAATTTTGCTCGCTAATTGCGTACCAGCTGGTGGACAAATAGATTCACGTTTGAAAATACGTTCAGTCAACTGCATTCTCGTCGATCTATCGACATTTTACACTATATGGTGAACAGTAGCCTGTCACACAACAGTCAGACATCGTAATTTAGTTACTGTTGCTCTCATTCTTGCTATTTTTTAAAAATTAAAATAGACCAACAGTTACATAGTACGTCATGCAGAAGATAATCTCGAGCAGCCGCAGCGGAGAAAGCGCAGCATGAACTATACCCCTACGTACGGAACGCGGCAACAGTGATGTTAATAATTAATAAAAGTCAAATTAATATATCAAGCTGTTATCAACATTTGTTACTACCTTTGTAATCGGGGTGGAAAAGATTTACGTATTCGAAAAAGATAACAAGAAATCGTGGTGCCAAATTTATTATATTTCATAGCAGTGTTTGCTTTGCATCTTATGTGTATCAATAATGATAATAATTCTTTTTCAGCTTAGAACGCATGTACACCCGGCTAGTACTTGTACAATACCCCATGCCAACACAGGTACAATACATACAAAAACAATGATTGGTCGTCGACAGAATTATCTTGCGCCTTTCTGAAATTTATTCAAGCCACCACTGAAATAAACAATTTCGATAAACAGTGTGTTTTGGTGTTATTTTCGAAAATCATCATCCGTGTTTGATTTAGAGTTCTTTTCAGTTCTTTTCAGTAAACATCTGTACAGAATCGATAGTGTAGTGCTGCATTTTACGCTACCCGTAGGCATTGCGCTATTTTGTTTGCAGTATTTGAAGTACTGCAGCACCGGTGCGGCGGTGGCTATTTCCGGTAAAGGAGAAGATACACGCGTATGCTGCCCCTATGTCCAATCTATGTGTACAGATACATGCGTACTGTATGTGCTCTATGTGCTGCACCGATAACGCTTTGATCGCATGCTCATGAACTGAGACGTAGTGCAAAGAAAAATGCAAGTGCGGCACTTGCCGACAGTACAATCCGCTACAAACAAACTGGTTTTCCAAAAATGAAGTTGTTAAGTTGTTCGTTTTTGAAGTTCTGTGGTACGCTAATCCATCATTATTGTATACACCATAGTTTCTATCCCGAACAGCAATTTTTCGTAAAATAACTTGGTTAATCACAGATTGATGGAAACGCCAAAGATTAAAGCTAAAGTGGTGGTTGTTGGAGCAGGCGCTGCAGGAATCGCAGCTGCTACGCTACTGTTTAAAAATAATTTCGATGTGATCGTATACGAAGCGTCTGATCGTATTGGGGGGCGGATGCGCACTCACAAAACGCCGGAAGGTATGTACTCCAGGTCGTATAAAACTTCTGCAGTACGAGTAGAGTTTGGTTTTAATGAATGAAGTTTTAATGTTTTAATGAATAGAATGTTTTAATGAATGCACTTTGTACACACAGAATAATGCTACTTACTTGTTAGTATTGTACTTACTCGTAGTCTCATACTAACCATTATTCTGTATAATTATAACATCATCCTGTTAATCGCCTGTAAATGCTATTAAGCCTTGAACGGCTCCGGGCTATTCAAGTAAAGAAAAAAGCAAATTTCCTTTCTAAACCTCAGAAAGTTAAAAACTCTTGTTGGGAATACCATAACATTGGCAAAATGCTTGCTAATTAACCAGCGCGTCACAATACTAACTTACAAGTTATTACGGAATAGCCAGCTGTCAAGTACTGCAAGATGCGAGCAAACGTAAGCAACCTTGTACGAATATTAAAAATATTGAATTACAGAGAAGATCGGCCAGTTGACACAAACTCGTAACGGAAAAACTCTTAACTGGTTGGTCTTATGGGTGGGACAAAAGTAACCGCTAGTACAGTAAATTAAAGGCCAGCGTCCAGCAAATTCTGCATGCTCGCTACGTGTAGGGCAGTTTGTTTACTGTTGTGCTATAATAGCAAAGTCTGGAATCTACTGTAAAAATAGAAAAATAGTTTTTCTTGAATTTCTTTGTTTGTGCAATAACTTTTCTGCCGTTTCCCGCGTCATTAATTATCCTTCTCGAAAAGTACAGCAACCTTTATGTAAGTGAACAGTTTATTGCGTATTGTTAGTGCTGCAGCGTGCGATCACCTTTCTTTGACTTTGTTTATCACAGGATGGATTGAACTAGGCGCGCAGTGGGTGCATGGGGAGCAGCAATGGCTGTACGATTATGCTGCTGAGCATGGTCTCCTAGGACGATCGGTTGTGATGGCAGAAGAAAGTGGGATACTTCAGGAAAGCGGCAAGCAGGTGCCAAGAGTTGCCAGATGTTGCCATACATCTCTTTACCGCATTTGCTGTAAAATGAAATCGATGCAACTTTGTAGGTGTCAGTAAGCGATTTCGGCAGGTTGTCAGAAAAGAGCAATGTTTTTGGCGATATGCTGTGCAAGGATGAACTGCGCAAGGTGGACAAACTGCAATCTGTTGGCGAATTCCTTACAAATATCTACTATCAAACCAGCCAGGATCTCACCGACCTAGAAAAAGCAGAGCTGGAATCTGCTTATGATTGGTTTATCCGGTAAGCAACCTGTGGCTGCTACCTGCTAAAGCGTAAACTTGTGACCTTGCTGCGCAACTTAATTGTAACCCAGTAGTCCAACTGTATCAATAAATAAAAGTATAAATAAGGTAGCGAAAAGGTTTGAGTAATAAGCGCGTTTTTAATCGCAGAGTTACGAAAATGGATGCCGGTTCGGATACACTGCACGATGTCAACGTACGCAACTACATTGACGAGACATGTATCGGCAACTACAATCACCAACTGAACATTCCCTTTGCTGACCTGTTTGATCACGTCCGCAATTATCCCAAAGAAGGAAAGGAGTTTCCATTAGAAAGGGTAAAATTCAACACAGCTGTGGCCGCTTTGAAATTTCTACCGGAAAATAAGCAAGTCCAGGTGACCACGGCTAAGGGAGAGGTCATCGAAGCGGACCATGTTATTGTCACGGTTTCTTTGGGAGTACTCAAAGCACACCAGCATACGCTCTTCCAGACACCGCTTCCTGCGAGAACAAAGCTGGCTATCGACCTGCTGGGTTATGGAACAGTCGGGAAAGTGGTGTGTTTCTATGACGAACCGTTTTGGAAAGATTGGAAGTTTGATTATGTGCGGGGTGATGTGAAGGCGCTGTCGTTGTTTTGGAAAGGGGATCTTGATGATTTCCAGAATGACCCGGAGAAGCGTTATGTAAGACTTTTTCTAAGTGCTTCTGCAACGAATTCCATAAATTATTCTGTGAATCGATAGTGCTCATTCCGTATTATACAGATACGATTCTCTAATGTGTGTGCAGTACCAAATTCCGTTTTAGTGTACAATGCACCCCCAGACAAAATCACCGACGTTTTCTGTAGGATAATAAGCCCTGGTACCGAGCTATCCGCAGCTTCGTTGTTGCTCAGTTTCATCCGAACGTACTGGTGGCGTTTTTGGCGGGATCGCATACGAACACTATGGAAAAGTTATCAGAAGACGATGTGTCCAGGGATATAACAGCCCTGTTACGTAGATTTTCCGGCCGAAATGTTCCCGCACCAAAGAAAATAATTCGGTAATCGCTCAGCTGCACGGTACATATTTTTTACAAAATGATACTTCTAGGCATTGTTATTATCGATACGTTGCGTTCATCATCTAACTGCTACGTTCTGGTATCAAGCAGTTCAAACCGATTACTTAATATTATTATTTTTGTGGAATGTGCTCAAACGATGATTCTGTGGATACTGCAGGAGCTCATGGTCGTGTGACAAAAATTTCAACGGAACGTACAGTTATTTGTCACAAGCGGCACGGAAGGCCGAAGTATCAGCCGAAGACCTTGGACAGCCAGCGTGGAAATATGAAAAACAGTTTAATGAAAGAAACGTCCAGGTAACATGCGCATTATTTTGTTTATTACATATTAATTACATGTTTGTTACACCGCGAATTCAAGGTCCCGGGACTCCTCTTTGCTGGAGAAGCCACTCACACAAAGTATTTTTCCATGGCGCACGGTGCGTTAATGTCCGGTTGGAGGGAGGCGCAAAGGCTTATTGACGGCTATTCCACAGTGCACATCTAGCGCAATCCTGCTGGATTAGGTTTTTTAATCGGATTTCCTGGTGAAGGGTGATTTAACACAGAAGGGCGGGTGCTAATGCGTGCTTTGTGATTCGATATCGCTGGAAAGGTTTCTCTTGCGCTAAATTTGTTATTGTTGCGCTAAATTTGTTATTTGCAGATTTTTTATTCAGTAATAAACTATGGTTTACGCGTAATACTCGCACTGTATAAAATATTACAAGCTGCCACGATCTCCCTACAGATACTTACAACAAGAAATTATTATCAGAGTACAATAACTGGCTCCGTTTTGCAAAGTGCGTGTTGTTATCGCCCATGACGGCACTTGTTAGATGTAATCATGTAAAAATATCCGTAATGGTGGCTCTGTTACGGCTGCGATGAAATTTTGGCTCTCTTGCTTTCCCGACTTAATATTTAATTTTTAAGACGGGCGGATGTTTTAATTTAAGATCAGCAATCGTATGTCGTAAAACGTAAACTGGAAATTGTCTGTCGACGTTGTGTACCAACCTGTTGTACTTTATACAGTACGATCAGGTAAAAGTATTGTACAAAGTGCTGCATGGTAGTTTTGCAGATCACAGAATTAAGCGCTGCAATTTTTGTATAAAGTACAAAAATAATCTCACATTGAGATTTACACAATAAACCGATGAGCACGCGGAACTTAAGATTTAACTCGCACATAATCAACATCCTCTTGGAACGATTGTCGCAGATGATGAGCAATTTCCGATGACACGTACGGAGAGATCGGAGAAAACTCGGAGTTGGGATAAAACTTCAAGGCGTCCCGGTACAAGTATTGTTTTGTTCTCTTAAATAACGGCTCGAATGACTCCTCCTTCTCCCATGAGCAGTCATCCAGGGCAAATGAAACACGCTTCCTGCTCTTTAACCACAACTCTGGCGAGGCCGGTGTCACATAATAACACAGATCCTTCAGCGCGACAACGGCAGTTGTGGGCTCGGGCGACGGGCAAGTCTCCGGGGAATATTCAAGGTCATCACGCAGGGTTTCTTCTCGGTCCACCGGATCCAGGTCATCCGGGACGTCCCTTGGATCGGCATTGACGTGGGCGGGATTGACAAAGGTCTCATCATTGTCGCTGGCGCTTCCTGATAGTTTTTGGCCACCTTCCTCGTCAAGCCTGTCTTCTACGCTAAACTGTCGTGATGGGTTAGAGAGAAAGTCATCCGACAGCAGCCTCCGATTACGGGATTCTGCCACAAATAATGCTGCAGCCATGGCCGCATTGTCGTTGGGGCTGGCGCGAATTTCGTCAGCCGTATCCGTAGCAGGAAGTGGCGACTTTTCACTCTCACCTGTAAAATACAGATTACTGCTCTGTAATCTGATTAACCACAGGGACATGCAGAGAGACATCAGAGTTTGAATTGCATAGTGAAATGCAGGAAATTTTGTGACTTCTAGTACAGGATCGAGTAACACCAACAAAATGCATGAAGTACGGTGGTTTTTAGTGGAAGTGTTGAAACAATTCTGACAGCAGTGATTAGTTAATTAATTATAAAATTTAATTACGCCCTTATTATTATGTATATTTCAACGACGACGATAATGAATACGTAATGCACTACACCCATTTTCGGCCAATGCACGTTAAGTTCAGTAATAAAAAATACTGTAAGCGAATAAGTGCAATGTAGATTTTGATTAACACAGTATTGATTAAAGTGAAATGTACCAGATGTGGACATGTAAATTACCATTGTGTCTTGTGATTGTTAATTAGATGTACTCGTATAAATATAATACAATAAGCCATAATCTCATTCCCCTACTACTCGGTAGATCCAGGTTTATTAACACAAATCGCTTATAAACATCATAATTCCTCAAATTTAGTACGAGTACTACTCTTTCATGGTTACACCGGTGCGTTTCTTTCTTACCTGGTTGATAAACATGCGCTTCCATCCAGTCTTCCACCAACGCGGACACATGAAACTGGTCTTTCCCACACGTTTCGCCCACAGTATTTGTTCTGACGCTCGGCGATTCTACCCGGTGATTACAGGTCTCGGATGGCGCGGCCTGTCCCTCTTGACTTTGCGGTGCAGTAACGGGGTTCGCTACGCGATACACGGTGTCTCTCATTAAGACCGGCTGACTTCGTCTGATGACAGATACCTGAGAGAACCGACTACTGATCGCCGCATCATGCTTCAGGGGTATGGCATTAATGTTTCCGGTGGATTTACCAGGAAATATTTGCGGATCTGCTGGCATTTTTCCCCGATGTACGTCATTCAACCTGTTTAGCAACGAGGAATTTTGCCCGTTTTGTCTTTCCAGGAATCGTTTGTCTTCGTTGCTTTGATTGCTGGCTTGGCCACGGAAAACCGTGCTGTACTGCTGTTGGATGACCTTTGACAAATTGCTCCATAATTCTTTATAGCCGATCCATTGGTTTGGCAAGAAATTATTCGGGGTGGTATGGTGTGTTGCACCAATAATAATAACGGAATCATCATCGTCTTTGGCTTCTTCTCCATCCGAGAGTTTCTTAGGAGCGTTGCGTTTCTTCGGAACCGTTTTCTTCTCTGTTCGCCGGAAGGAGAATGCGCTTCGCGGGCACTTTCCACGAGGTACCGGTTTATTGTACAACAGAGGATAAAGATGAGGGTGTTGCTTGATGCACTCAATGTGCTTAATATTCTGCAAGTACCCGTTCCTGGAGAGGGCGGTCTCTGGTACGGTTGCCGCATGCGACGGAATCCGCTTGGGCAAATTAGACGCTGCAGGACTTTTTGAAGGTTCTTCCACATGATTTATCATGGCTCGCTTACGAACACTGGCATTATACTGTTTATGAAAGGTCACCGGTGGCACCGGAAGTGGGTGCTTGAATACCGGCGCTGGGTTGCAAGATTCTTGTGGAGATTGTGGCAGATATCCATCAAACGTTCTGGGAACCGGTTTCAGGCCATCAAAGTTCCTGGCACTATGCGACTGAAATGGAAAAGCGTCACGTGCCGCTCCGGCGTGGACGATGACGGATTTCCTTGCTCCCGGGAAATCATCCATATTATACTGCGTGGGCGGAAGCCCAGTGGGCGAGGAGGGAAAAACAGGATACATGAGAAAAATCTGCAGACAGTAACTTGTTAAAAGAGGATGAAATGCTTTTTTATTGAACCGCACGGCAAAAAGAATGTGCTCGTGCATCTAAAGTAATTAGCATGGTAATTATTGCGTAAGTTCTAAACGCATGTCAGGCGGAAACACTGCCGTTCGATGTATTCATAACGTTGCAAAAAACCGAGCAAAGCGGTACGGAAAAAGCGTTCACAGATTATACAAACAGATACAGATACAATGGAAGTCCCAAGCAGTGTTGTTCTATGCTCGTGTCTCGCTTAGACGATGCCTGGCCCAACTGATTATTGATTACGAGCTTTATGCAACTTGCACCGGCCTCACTATCATAAACCGCAGATTAACGAGACTTCAAAAATTCACCAGAAACTTTCACGTTAGGTAATTTCCCAGAAAACCATCATGTACAAAATCTTATAAGATTTCCGCACCCGTCGACGGAAACAGATCACATAATTTAAAGTGATAAAGTACACGTACGTGCAGGGTACGTACGTGCACGTCACAAGGCACACTTTTACCAACGACATCGATATGAAAAAATCATTTCGGCAATTCTGCCACCGAAGCGGGTGAATATTACAAACATCCAACAGTTTCTTCAAAAGAAGGAAATCAAAGATGATTCACGATGGTGCGTGTTTAATTAAATGCCAACGCATCTGTCTCGGGTAAATGAATAATGCTTTTAACAATAGCACAGTGGTATATGCAAACGATATATAGAGCATGGGTCAAAATATACCGGTAAGTAGTAAGCGGTTAACCATCGCAGAATTAAAACTGACAAACCCGTGTAAACACAGGCATGTCACCGTATATGCAATCTCACTTCAAGTCATAAAAGTGTGGAAATATCCACTGAAGCAGCGTAGATTGCCGCTTGTACGACAATGTACAGTATTTGTACATGCATGGCGTTTCGCTTAGTTTGACAGGCACTACCGTCACAATGCGTAGTGCATTTCTTCGTAATAATCTACGGTAGTAAGATAGAAACACTACACTGTCGACTACAGCACCAATAATTTTTACTTCTCGGTTACCACAATATGTCACACTAGGCCGCAACTGACAGGAAGTAATCTGCCAAAAGTGGACAAAACCCAGATTACAGTATCACAGCTGGTGATTTCCCAAGCTGATCGATCTGTCTGATAAAAACTTTTACGACTGCATATTACCGGTACAGTACCTGTTCAGCTACAGAAACATTCCCCCTTCATAACATGTGATCTGCAAGAATAAAAAATAATTATTACTTTGCCGGAAGGGAAAAAAATATAGCAAAAAAATGTGTTAGTGCAAAATATATCAGTGTTTATCTGCATGCAAAATATATCAGTGTTTATTTACCCAAAAAATTAAAAATTATTCCCGTGTGACATTTCGTATAAATAATCATAAATATGGCATCGCTGTACAGAAAAAGCGACCATGTACAATGTCGTACATCTGCGCGATATCATATCGCATTTCCGCTAATTTTGGTGCAAAGTTTTCTTAGTACATTGGCCTAGATTGAATACACAATTGAATTGTAAAAACGGGCACAATCATGCATATATCGCAATGACTGGAAGTACTGATCGTAGTCTCCTTACCGCAAAACATAATCGGGAATTTCCGTAACAGCGGAAGGAAAGTCTCAACAAAATTTGTGTTAGTTTATGTAAACAGTACAGAAACACCGCTCGTATCCGCCATACGCAACAAAAACATCCGGCGTCGGGAGGGAAAATCTGTCAGTCGAGGGTTCAGTTTTTCCGACTATTTTGCCACATCTCGCAGAAAACGGCTGCTCTTTGAATCATTAATAATCGGTCTTCTACCATGAAACAAGCAGCTAGGGGCGCTTTTACTGTTCTGCTTAAGCAAACCGTACGAGGACCGGCGCTATTTACCGGTTAAGTGAGACAGCTGATCAATAAAATGAAAACAGCACGCAAAGGCTTCGCGTTTTGCGCATACTTCTATGTACAGTACGGTGGAGCCGTTAATACTATGCGGTTTGATTCCACTTGAAGCTGACATATTTTAGCCGAGCATGAAATGCATTCGTTTGTTGGTATATGTGGTTATAAGCGGTAGCAGCTCAAATTTGACAGGTCGCCTTTCCGCCTGGCTTTTGTCTGATAACATATGCAGTATCATGATTTTTAGCGTTGCTGCGTACTCGCAGAATGCCGGCCATGTCATACTGCTCGATAAACGCCGCACGCATTACGGCATGATGCATCAGCTGCCGGTAACAACGGTTACAAAAACAGAAAAATAGCGGTTGTGCTGCACCCCATAAAATAATTCGTTTACGAGGTCGGTAAGCATGGCGGCGACAGACACGGAAAGCAGGGCAGTTGTGGCAAAAATCATTAAATCTTAATTGAGCTGGGTGCAGCGGTGTGTTTTGCATGAACTATATCAGCTGTGTCAAAAGTTGATGAAAGTGGCTCGTAATACAAATTACGATACAGATTGCACAGATACTTATGTATGTGTAGTAAGATGTGACAATCATTTTAGGCCGGGCACGTTTTATGAATGACAAACAAAGATAGTATTACCAAATCGTCCATAATTGAATGTTCCGTAACCGTCATGTCTGTAGTCGTACTGAGAACGTTTTTTATACTCAACTGCATTTCAACGTGTTTATCCCGCACCACGTCCGCTTTCCAGCTAGTTAGTAGGCTGGTCAAGCCGTAAAATTATCAATGCCGACAACTGCAACGAAGGGGCTAACGTCGGACCGTGCATAGAGGGTGAAATTTAATTTCATAAAAATTCCTGGCACGAAAACCTTTGTTAGGATACAAAGGGGTCCGAAACGGCGGGTAACCTTTGGGTTACTCCAGTGGGTGGAAGGAAAACGATTGAGGCACTATATGTTGCAAAGCAGTGGAATTTGCAGGCTACTTTTTATAGGCGCCACTGGATTCGGCTTAGTTCGCTCCGCCACCGCGGCAGCGCTTCCCGATCACTGCGACAGAAAGTGTGATTAGACTCTTCTGGCCAATAATTAACCAATTCTGCGTGCAAAATTATGTTTTTCAGTCGTAACAAAAGTCGCGCGTGATGCAGACAAATGTATGTGTGCGGCGGATAGAAGTGAGTGATTTTAAATGAAAAATTGCGACCAGCGTTACTTTCAAATGAATTCTGACACTGAAATACTTACAAGCATAACAACGGTTGGCCGTGCAAAAGCTATCGCTGCCTATAATTATACACGTATAATGACGTACTTTGCCAGATTTCGTTAGAAAAAACGAGCTCGTTTCCGTGTAAATTCTTGCCGATAAAAAGTTTGCAATCGACTATAAATTCCCCCCGGGCAAAATTCAATCGCATAGCGGTATCGCAAAAACTGCCAGCAAAAGCCTAACTAACATGCCAACGATCAAACCGCACAGTTCAATATACTTCCGGCAAGAAATTTAATATTTTAGCTGATTTGACTTTGGTTTACATTTAAAAGCGTAGTGAGCGCTGAAAATAAGTAGATTTATAGTTTGTTCTTGCTGGGAGCACTCAGTACGCGCGAGCAAAACTTTGTATTTTGCTTGTAAATTTTTATAACAGTAAAACAAAAAAGCCATCTTCGCGTTATCAGATATCGGTCATGGAGCAGCGCACGAGTGAAAATAATTCTCTTCTGTTCGTTAAAAATTTTTTTAGCGGCATGATGTCGCGTGAAGCGACATTACTGCCTCACGAAGTAAAAATGCTGCAATAAATGCCATGATTTTGTATTCTGCATTAAATACGGATTTCTGTACATCTGTCATCTAACGAATACGCTACCATATACCGTAATAATACGGGTACACGTGGCAAAGTGCCCAAAACTGCCGCCGCATTACCACGAACAACCGCAATGCTGAAGCCCTTCACACGTCTTTTAAACACTTCTCCCAAACTAAGTACTGGCCACAACGTACAGTAACCAAGGTGACACCAGCTGCAGGTTATTCGGTCTCTATGGACATTCCCGGAGGCTCCAGTTTACAAGGATTTCCAACGATTTTTCCACTTCATTTCACAGTGCCGCCTCCGTCGCCTTTTACTCACGTTTACTGTGCAAGCAAGAAAAACTTGCATGATGTCCATTAGGCTGCACTTTGTTTCGGCAACTCATACACTTATGCTCCCGGACAAGTCTATGCCAGATCGGAGGCGGACAACTATACGCAGCTGGTACTAGTAATCATTAAGGAAATTCGTATAGGTTGCAAGTGCATTGTTCTAGCATTCTATCCTTGCTAGGTTTTGCGCAACTATGAGGTCATGCTTATCGAGTACGTGAATTAGTATCATAGACTTCCAACATCAGGTGAAAGTAAAGTCTGCAACTCTACACTAGAAGAATGTAGCTTTATACATTGATTTGACAAAGAACGAAAATCATTCTCTGGAGTAACCAAATTAAAGATAATATGGCTAACCCCGCGTCACTGAGCAGGGCATAATCACTAAGCAGTGAGCGTCCTTTATATCCTTTTTTATATCCAAACAAAAATGTATAGCAGACATCAGTTTCATTCCAAATAGGAGAATAGAAGAACACCTAACTTACTCTTAATCAAAACAAAAAAAAACCTGACGTACTCCAAAGGCTCGAGTACTTTCCATTAGAGTGCCGTGTGCTCATAGACTATGAAATTCAACAACATGCGATAATGCTGCATGACCTTGTATTTTTTTCTAATGTGACTTCTACACGTCGTCGTTCTTAACCAAGAATAAAGCCGTGTCCACATCAGTACCCCGCAGGAATGGTCTCCTTCAATTTCTGCGTAAATTTTTGTGCTTATACCAAACAAAAATGGAAGTAGAATAGCATCTCTGATTTAAATTGGCGTTAACGTGCGGTCCAGATGATAACAAGAATTTTCATAATGGCTCGACTTCTTCACAAACCTTGACAATTATCAGCAGTGACAACGTGGTTTTCTAAGTATCGACAATAAGCGTACTGCAGGACGCACCCCCTTTGGAAAGTTAATCCGGACCCATAGGGATTCTTAAGTCAGTATGTGCGCAGATTCCATGCAGATTCCTGCTATGCACTCAAAACGAACACTTTCGTGTTCACATAATTGCGTACAATCATATGGAGTGGGAGTATGATCCGTGTTTTTAATTTTTCCGATTAAACGAATGACATAAAAGCCATAGCGCAATAAAATGTTTCGTGGCTGTTCTCAGCGATTATTACTGACTCAATAATATTGGGTAATACATTAGAAAAATGCAGAATTATAGTTTGGCTATGGCCGAAAATTCGTCTGCGCAGAATTCTAACGGCTCGAATTCCAGCATCTCTAACGCTGAACTTCAAGCCGTCAAAGTCGTGTATCTGTCGCTGAACTATGTTGCGGCTTTGAGTAATGTGCTGATGATCATCGTCATTCTCCGCAGTCAACAGCTGCGCCAAGGCTGTGGTTGGCTGATTGTGCATTGTCTGATTGGCTACAGTCTGCTGTGTGGCGTATGCTTTCCCATCTTGCGCATCCTCCAAGACAAAATATCCGATCACCTCTACAATCCGCCAAGCACGTACTGCAGTAACTTCCTAGTCGTGCAGATGACCGTTCGTTACTCCATCAATATATTCGAAGTCGCCATCAGCTTCAACCGCGTAGTGGCCATTTGTTGTCCCCATCAATATAAAAATGTCTCCTCGCGATTTTTTGTTATCGGACTGATTGTAATGGTGTGGTTGAGTGCGTTCTGCTTGGCGCTGCCGGGTGGATTAGGATTCGGTTTGAAGTTTGTCTTGACTCCTCTGGGCAGCTGCGCGTTCATTCAGCTAAATAATCTTGGACTGGTTAATTTAACTTTGGGTTTCTACTCGCCCCTCGCATTGGCGGCTTTTGGGTATTTTTTGGTTTACGCTAAAATCATGAAGGCAAACTGTGGAAAACCAAGGGTGTATCAGAGCGGTGCACATTTTACTAGAGCGTATAACCGCCGGCTCGCCACGGCCAACATGATGTTTGTTGCTTTTCTATGGAATTCGGTATTTTATCTCCTTATTCCCGTTTTGATGATGACGGCGCCGCAGATATTTTCGTCGGCGCCCAAGCTGCATCTCTGGATTACGACGTTGCAAGTTTTCGGTTACATGCTGAATCCCGTAGGTGCACGATGCATTGTAAACATCACGTTACTGCACCATGGGCTTCTTGGATCCATATTCCAAATTCGTTTGATTTCAGGTCATATTTTGTCTCATGAATCGTGACTATAAAGCGGCTTTGAAGCACTTGCTAACATGCAAGGGCTCCCCTGCATTGAGAGGATCACGATCACATGGCCAGTCGACCCGGCGTTCAGAAGGACTTCCTGTCTCCGGGAAGCCAACAGAAATGTCTGTACGCAGTAAACATTACTGATTCGCAGATCGGTACAATTCCGACCTTGCCGGCAAAGCGGCACGCCGGCTTTAAATAATATTTGTAAGGATATGTTGGGAAGGAGTGATAAGTTTACTTTGTTCATTGTGTTATTACTAGCCCAAGGAGCGTTGTTAGTCTTTAACTACTACCATACAGATAACGGGCACAGTCACAGATCTACCAGTATTTTCAATAAACTGATTTCACTGCTTTATAAACGATTTTTCTTTCGCAAGTGATATTATTTTTTCATAATCGAAAGGTTTCCTGGTATGATCAGCGACCTTTGTTGTAGTTGTTTAAACAAATACCGGTATTTGAAATTGATACAGTACTGTGCGGTACGCACTCACCACTGAGCGATCGAACGTTGTAGGAATTTCTGGATCAATGTAAGAAGTTAGAAAATGATCGAAACTAAAGCAACGATTCCACTAAGCATTCCAATATTATTGCGCGAATTTACAGATATCTACAGTACAAGCAACTATCTTTACAGGATGATTATTTATATTATGCTAACGAGGCTTAATTTTCAAAATATATTGTTTCTGTTTTCTTTTTGCTTTACTAGCATACGTTGCTTTTAACATTATCTTATGGCTAGTACTGTTTTCTCTTTGCGTTAAAAACGTCTGTTAGATTAACTGCACAGAAAACACTTTGAAATTCAGAAACAGTTAGAAGCTAGCTTTTTAATATCCAAAACATAAATGGCTCCCCCATTTTATGAATAATTAAGCATCATGATCATGATAACACAACTGAATGATGCACTACGAATTCCATTTAAATTTTAAATGTCTGGTATTTTCCCCAATTAAAAACAACTTCCATAAAGAGTGTCCAATGTTTATCATAACAGTTCAGAAAGCATTTGGCAAAGTTGTGCAAATATTATTGTGTGGATGCATCAACAGTTCAAGTGACCGATTCTTTTATGGTGGATACCGGGGTCAGTGCCGTTTTCTCTTTGCCAGAATCATGCAGCGATATGACAGTCGCAGTGCTTACAGTTTTCCCCACTTCTTGCTTCCCACCAGTCCCGCCGCCGGGTTTCCCGTTCTTCGCCACCGATGTCGCCGACGAAGGCACGCCTGCTGCTTTGCTCCTATTGGGTCTCACTGTAGTGTTAATCGAATCCGACATGCTCTTCCAGTGCTTCTTGGCCCATGACGGACAAAATATTGGAGCAAAAATGCGCGCGAATTCCATCCGGTACTTTTTGCTAACCGTCAGGTACAGGAAGAAGTTCACTGAGTAATAAAGGAAGGACATTATTTGACAGGGAGCCGTTGCCACCATTTTAGCCGTATAGTCAAAGTTGTACATGTGATAGATGTCGGATATCTCCATGCATTTGTAAACAACGCTAGGAAACCAGGAAATCAAATATAATGCCACACTGGAGAGAAGGAGAACGTTGCTGTTGCGGTATTTTTTGTCGGAATTGGCCCGCTGCGCAGCGCGCATTTTGCCGATTTCGGAGTTCTGTTGGCGTTTGATAGCGGCGATCAAGATTAGATTGATAAGGAGTAGGCCGAAAAATTTTGACAAACACATGATCAGCTGTAAATTAAGTTTCAATGTAAATGCTCGCGTACCTTCCAGCAGTGATACTAAAGGTCATGCTCATTACAAGAGAAAACGTTTACCTCTGCCATCTCCTGAATGGGATACCATTCTTTCAAATACTTGGGCCAATATTTCCGCGTTCTTTTACCATCCTTCACACGGTTTATTTCAAGCCAATACGGAAAATTACAAACGGCAAACATTGCAGCTAGGACGAACAGAATAATGATGATAATTCGGGCTGTCAATGGCCGCTGAAGCCACTTAAAACCAAACGGTCTGATTACGGCCAAAAGACGCTCAATCGAAAACACGATTAAAACCCTGAAAAATCATGCAGAATTTGGCTGTTATCCTTTCAAAACGAATTTTAAATTCTTGGCAAAGGCTTGACAAGTTGACAAGTTAATTGTGATTAATCGTTAAAAATAATTATAATTCAGTTAACTACTTTTGATTTTAAAATAATAATAAATACGTTATAAATTACAATTAACATTTTTAAATTAACTATTCATTAATATTATTTTTTAGTTTTCCCTTTGCTGGTTAATGCTCCTTACTTATATCTATAAAATAATATGTAACCAATAACAGAAGTATGCACATATTTAAAAATGCGCATCATGTTTGTAACAATATTCTGTACAATAATACGGTAACTGAATTATGTACAATGTCAGCATAAGTGTTTAGTGGCTTGTTAACATACCAATCGCAGAACTCCAAACTCCACTCCTGCCCCCATGCCATATATGGTAGCACCGCGTATGTGGTCGCTCTGGTCGTATTATAATATACCGTCCTATACGGTAGTTGAAATGAAGAAGCTGTATTCCACAAATAGAGCGGAAGAGCGAACCATCTGAAATTGTAATTTTGTCACCAAAGTACCATACTCGCGATAACAGACGCAACTGAATGCACTGGTCAGGTGACCAAAAGTAATAGTATGTGTTAGCAACTTAGCATCATCGTTAACTGTTATTTTCTTACAGTAAGACCAAATCGGCAACAGCCACCGCTGTCATGTAGCAGTTCGTGGTCGTTTTTCTCTTTCACTGGCCAGCACAACGAGGTTGAGTCCATTGCCGATGGTACAGAAAGCCAGTAGGATGGGATAGCAGACGACACCGAAAACATATGAATCATGCTGCTGCTGCTCGGTCCAGTTGCCCGACCAGGGTGCGGTTTGTCTCCATTGGTCCGGATCGGCTTTTTGCTTCGTGCCGACCGCCGAAGCTAGCGTGGTGTTGTTTAAAGCCGTTACAACATTCGCCAGCGTTTGGTTAAATAATGAAGTGTTCATGGATGCTGTCGGCAGTCGTAAATTGTTCAAGATTCAGTGGCAGTCGCTAACTTGTAGCCGGAGGAAATATTGCAAGAAAATTCGAGGTTGTTTACAAAAAAACTCTTGTACGAGAAGCTGTTGATTTAGCACTTTCCGATTTCCAGTTATACAGATTGGCTGCGGACCAACATTCTCACCCTGGAAGAAATTTCTAAGCATCACTTGCATCACATGCATTAAAGCGTAATCATAATTTAAGTAGTTTAAGAAATTCCTGGCATATGTACGGATAAGGCATGCTCGTAATTAGGCGTCTTGTTCAATTGCTGCTGATTATTACACTTCAAAATGAAACAATCTAAAACCCTTAAATTTAGATATTGCGCAAAATGCATACGAGTAGTGTTAATAGTACATTTTCTTGCACTGCAGCACATCTTTGCGTAAAAAGTAACAATATTTATAGTTTGAGGATCCGATTTTCAGGATATCAGAAAAATACGTTGTAGTAGACCCGTTAACATTACGACGATTACGTTGACTTTGTCATAACTCAAAAGCATTTGAAAGCTCTTTTTGGTATTAATTATTTTAATAAAATATAAGATTGTAGCTAAAAAATAAATAACTAAAAAAATAATAACTAATAAAATCCATTATAATAATAAAACAGCTTATAAAATACAGGAAGTAACTGTAACTCTGTAAATTAAACACAAAAAAAACACCAAAAATAAACACATTATCAAACACCAGAAATAACTGGTAGAATAATTTGTAAGTTTTTTGCCATAATTATGCAGCTGGTTAATATTTTTACCTATCCCTGCAGAAGACGAAGAGACGAAGGTGGAGGTAAATTGTTTCTGCAACAGTGAATCAGACAGCACTACAGTATTTCCAGCGAGACGTGAAGATGATCCAGTTCCATTACGGCATGTACGTTATGCTTTCACACGCATCTGAAAGTCGACTAACCAGAATGCAAACGTGCTGCTTACTTTTGGTAAAAGAATGTGTGATAATAACAATCTGCAGTACCGTTGAAAATCAACACACAACATAGTATTCTGCAAAAGCATGCTGTTTTGCCTCCGGGGCCGAAAGCGCCGAAGGACCGACAGAGTACAAAGAAAACCGTTATTAAATTTTCATGTATGCTCAGAAAAGGCGCGAAAATGGCAATCTGAAAAAGATTTACCGGCAATGCGACCGGATGTTCATAATAGCCGTATTCTGCACGCAACATCGGCTTAGTGTTTTCTGTAAATTCATCGTCAAATGATGCTGACTTATGCCCATGTATCGGCCGTATAATCGATATTTCGGTTGGTAATTAGACTTATGGTAGCATTATTTGCATTACGTTATGTTTCAATGTGCGTGTTAAAACAAATATTTTACGCAGTATTATTATACGTACTCAATATATCGGCCTGCTTGATTTTTTTTAGGAGACAGAAAACTCTTTGGTAAAATGTTTGTTGCTAATTAGGGATCCAGCGGCAGTTTATCCTGAATAATCATGGGCACAAGCGAGTCGATGATCGATCCAGATATGCAAATTTTAACGGCAAAGTAACAAACCACAATCTGGCTGAATTCAAGGTCAGACGTGCAGACTCGTCTTGATCAAAAACCACAAGATGCATGCATTTATGTAGAACTAAGCCAATCTTGTCCTATTCAAAGGCTTTGAATGAAGGGGCAACGAGATAGTGCACCCCAAGAATAACAAATTTAAATAGTACTCGCTTGGCTTGGTTCATTTGTAGCTGCGAAAACTCGTATATTAACTAAGTAGCTGTATAATTAGGATCATCAATACAGTATATGCGACAAATAATTCCGGATTCTATCCTAAATAATTTTGAGCGCTGCTGAATCACATCAGTAATCCAGATTTCCCCGTATAGTGGTGCCTTTGTTTTTCGGATGGGCTTGTACATGCAATATCCAGTAAAACTGCCAATAGCATACTCAGTAGTCAAGGGATGCGGTTCCGAAACATGCCGGCTTTGAATTTTTCAGCAGAAGTAAAAGACCCACGGGACAGACAGTCTATGAGCGAGAATAAATTTAGCGGTAACGTCAACAATTGCAATAACCGTCATTAATTATATTTTGCGACGCGGCAGTCGGCTGTTGATTGGAATAGAATATGACGCATTATAATAATCGCTGGGTTCTTATAAATAGCAGGATTACTGCCTTTACTGGACCGCTGGCAATAATAAGAGCATCTTGTTTAGGATGCATTCGAGGGCCATCCATTGACACAGCCTTCTACAGCATAATTGAATTCAACTGTTAAACATGCCCTTCATGCATCGACTAGCCTCCCTGCCTTTTCCCTGGATGTAACGATCTGTGCTGCATTAATGGACTTCCAGTAGGGTTCTCCATGGAGCGATTCCCTCAGCTAGAGCAATTGTTAACTAGCCACGAGGCATGCCATCAAGGATGTACTTATCTCTATCTTCCATTATCAGGAATGGTCGGATCCGGTATGACTGTACAGATTCAGCCATGGTGGAATCTTGTTACATTCCTCACTTGTACACTGTGACGCAGCCGTGAATGTTTATTACGGTGGAACCACGTTATCAACGCTGCGGGATAGTTATTGATTGCGATACAACTGGGAAGAGAGGAAACTGGTACACGCTTAGAATTTAGGCCTTTGCCTTTGCCTGTTCTTGCAATAGTAGCATGAAAGGGCTATTGAAATCCGAAATCCTGGGAAAACGTTAGTTTTCTTTTATTAAGTACTACAAGAAGAGCTATTAACGATAAATATGCTGTACGTAATACTCGCAGTGAAGTCTGAGGTCACGCATTGGTCAGCGTTGCTACTGTAGCGTGAAACGTTTCCATTTTAGCGTCAGTTATTTAGCGCGTTTCGATTTTCCCGTCCGGTTCTCTTAGCGCAATAATCCAACCAGCTCAAATTTGTCCTAACCAAATAAACCTCAATAGCTGCTCGTTTTCGGACTTCAACTTCTTTAAGACGTTTCAACCGTGACCAAGCAGCGTACAGATGCAATGCACCGATGGCAGTATCGCAATTTCACAAACACAGTCATAATAAGGGAAGTACTGAGCTTTACGATAAAAAGTGACACCTACCAGAAACTAAAGAAATAGTAACTTCGTGCAACTTTAACTATACATGCTTACTATACTCTCGCTCAGTTATTTCGGCATTTCGGTTCCCGCTATACTGCGTATAATTGCAGTAGTTGACACCGAACAAAAGCACGAGAGCACTGATGCTCTCGTTTTTACCAGTAATAAGTTGCGAGGCTCCAGCATGTTTCTTATGTTTACTGCTAATCTGTGTTTTACACGTTCGGCAAATTTGCGTCGGCGTTTATGGTCTGATTGTTCAAGTTTATCGGTTTTTTTCGCTAGCCGAGCCCCAAGCGCGAGTATTTTTCCGCCTTGTTGAACCGAATAAATGTTTTCGCGGTTGAAGCGATGGTAATAATTGTTTTAAAATTGCAAATGTTTTTACTTTTGTAAAAAAATGAAAATGGCAACGCTTTGCTGCAGTTTGCAAGAAGCCGGCTTGTCAATCATAACCACATAAAGGCGGATTCTTCAGCAATACAGTGCCACATTCTCCACTCGCATATTTTGAAGAATGGACTGATATACAGAAAACTAAGCGCAACCTTGAATTCAACACGAAAAATAAAAGCCTGCCGAAAGAAAATAAAAGCCTGCCGATGATAACAGTTTAATTGTGGTCATAAAATCTACAGATACACAAGGCTACTAAGGCTCAGACACTGCGTTTGTGTTCAACTTCGTTCACAGCCAAAACTGACTGCACCTAAACACAGGTGCTGGATATTTTGCCGACATCTCAACATTATTCTGGATACTACGTACTGTCTGCTCGCGCAGTGCTGCAAGTTTCAGGTTTATGGAGACTGTACGATAGCGAGCCTTTCCAGCAGTAAATGCCTTGACTCAATTTTTATCAACTCCGTGCATGCATCTTTTTATGTGACGGTATGCGCAGAGAATATGGAAACAGAATCCAGTCAATATGCCGACGATCCGCCACCATCCTACGAGGAAGTCATTAAGGACTCCTGTGCGGTCAGACGATTGGAGCAGGAGACAACAGAAGATGACCAGTTAACGACGAATCTACAGATGTACGACGAGGAGGAAGTGTCCAGAAAAATTACAGCTATCGAAACTGTTTGCATTCGATTTCGCATCCTCTTATTACTGTTGATAATCCTGGGTTCTGCATTGTGTGCATGGGATGCTGTATTCCGGTACGATGAAAAATGCTTTGAATGCGACTCTCTCGAAGTTGACGTGTACCTGGCCTGGGCAGCACATGCGAGATTAGTTAGCGGTAGTTTGATCCTTACAATCAGTTTGTTGCTGCTGTTGTTATCATGCTTGTTGTTATCAGATGCTGCTACATCTTGCCTGCATTGTGCGTCCAATAAGTAACGGATGACGACTGCTTGTTTCCACATGAGTCTGGAATTCCTATTACTCTTCAGAAATTGGTTTCCTTCTGACCCTTTTTTGTCTGCATACGTGTTTTGATTTGATATTTAGCAGCGAAATAATTGTTCCGGATTAGTTCATCCACATGTCATTGTTTATAAAAGAATAAGTGGAATAACCACGTTTCAGTGGAATAACTGGGTTGCAACTGGAGCTAAAAAATTCCAGTGAGGGCCTCTATTAATTTTCCAGGCTTTTTCTTGTCTCTGGCAAAAAAATGTGTACCACGGTAGCCAATAAGCAGCATTCGTAAGCAGTTATCCCAGACAGTTTGAGAATGTTTGTGTCGCACAGCGTAGTACAACAAATGTAGTTTCCGAAAATTTCATCCTCAGGAAAGCGGAGAACAAAGCCATCACATACTGTAGCCAAGAAAAGTGCTAGTGGTTAATGTGGTAGCAACATTATACTTGAAAATCAGTTCTATTTTAAATAAACTAAGGTACGCATACTCGTACTCAAAATTTTGCTGCAGTTCAATGATAGTGCAAAACTAAAAACACTGTGCACTGTAAAATGATTAATTTAACCAACCCGTATGAGACGTTCATTGACTCGGGATTACTTATTCTCACTTTCCCGACCATTTTTTGGCACTTCGCTTTAATGTGTCCTGCGCAACACATGATGTTCACGGCGGCTCCGGTCCTTATCTTCCACCACATTGGCGCTCATCATTTTGGTGATTTCGGGCTTGTACACAGCAGCTTGCGGATTTCTGACGGTCGTAACCCAAATGCTGCTGATGTCTCTGTATTTATGTGCGTTTCTCTTTAGCCATTCCGGACAAAAAAACCGGCAAAGAGACAGACGAACTGCACCCTATATCTTTCGCTGACGGTTAAATACAGAAAGAAATTGATAGAATAGTTGACCAAAAGGACGTTTGGCAAAAGGGCGTGGCGAAAGTTTTGCTGACTTGTCGAAGTTGTACAAATGATTGGTTTCGGCAATGATAAGAATCTTGTATACGAGACTAGGTAGCATCGTGAACAGATAGAGGCAGGCACTGCCTATTAACAGATAGTTGCTGTTGCGATAGCGCCATTCATGACCGCCGGTCTGTGCGGCACGCTGCTGCCCAGTGACAAACAGATGCTGGCGCCGGATGGCAGCACGCCGGATGGCAGCGATAACCAGAAGGTTGATGATCAATGAGCCAAAAAACTTAATGAACATCACCACCACCTGCAGACAACAGACAAGGTTTATGCACATACCTGAAATTTTAAAAGTTTTTTCTAAACGTTCTAACGCATCCGAAGCGTGCTTACAGTTCAAGGAACATCTAAAAGTAAATGATGCAGCTGGGCTTATTGCAGTCTAGGCATTAATGCATTTGACTACATTGCACATTTCGGGCAGGTAACGTGTAATTTTGTCAGTGCAACTCAGCCACGGCCCACGACCATTGGAGTAATACAATAGCTCTTCTAAACCAGACAGAAAATACTCCATGAAAATGCCTCATATATACGATTTGGTTTATAGCACCACACCACTCAGCAGGCACCAGCAAAGACACTCAAGCCATGCAAACTGAAACAATTCCGCCTCACCATCAGTGTCTTTGTGCTCCATGCTGCGGTCACGTAATGCAAAGCAGCATGATGAGAAGGTCAGCTGACGGAAAAAATGCTAAGGTAAGCAATAGGAAAACGGTGCTTTGATTACTCAGTTACTATTGTATTGTCATTGCTGGTGATTTTAGTTCATGAGGAGCGAAAGAGTAAAACGTTCGTTCCTTCTCACTGTGACAGTTTTCTAGCCTGACTCCACAGAAACGGCTCAAATTTACCTCTGCCACATCTTGTACATCCGACCAGTTCTGCAGCCATCCCGGCGTCTGTGAGTACTTCCAATTGTACCAACCCGTAACAAAATTGCATACAGAAAAAACTGAGGAAAAGAAAAACAGCGCCACGATGATGAGACGGGCTGTTGCAGCAGCTTGGAGCCGTTTGGTGCTGAATGGTTGCGTGATGGCCAACAATCGCTCCAAAGAGAACACTATCAGAACCCTAAATACCACAGATAAAGACCGCTGATTTCGATCGGCAGTTCCTTATACGTTACAACTAAAAAAACTTTATTGCAAGAGTTTTTGTTTAAGATGCTAGAAAGGTATGTTTTACCAGTCACACAGATGCAGAAATGTTTCTCGTATCCATACAACATACGGCACTACCATAGCCACAATTGCTTTGTTTCCGGGATTTTTGTACGGTAGCTTGAAGTTGACACTCGTGTTCCAGATAAACTGCGGCAACATCGACCACCTGCAAACATCATCGATAAATGTAGCGTTCTGAAAAGAACATTGTCTTAAGGAGTGGCATGGAATATGGTGCCAGTTTCGTGCACAGATATCTGTACATCGATTTCGCCCGTAAATTGCTTAACTTGTAAGCTCACTGTACAGGTCAGCTGGTTGCTCACTCACGTAAAATGGAGTTAATGGACATCAGCACATGGCTAAAGCCGCAAAACCGGTTTTGCGGCTTTAGCCATGCGCACCTGATCGAGTGAGCGGAGACACAGAACAGAGACAGCGGCTGTTGCTGGTGAGCAAGCTGCTGGGCCCGTAAAGCGAGCTTGAGCAATTTACGGGCGAAATCGATGTAGTGCCACTTCCACTTTCACGAACTCCCATACACTTTTTTTACTGTTCCATGAAATACGACAATTGTATGGGACTCAATGACAATGACTTAAGTCCACTGACATGAGAACTGTTTCTGTTGGGCACGCAACGTCCAGTTGGGGTGTTGCGGAGAAATAAAATCCATAAGGTAAAATGGGAATAGGTTTAATTTTCTAACTTGAAAGTTGGAGAAAAAAAACCTGCAACCTTGGATTCCATGAAAAAATTGTGTTTATGCCTACCTGCATCCATGTTCAAATTTTTAAAGCCTCGCTCTAAAGGGAGACTAGGCACATCTGTTAAAGTTTAAAATTTTCAAGTCTTATGTTAATTGATGCAGCTTTCCGACCGGAAGTTGCACGCACAAGCGGTTTTCACCTGAAGCTTAAAGTCCGTTGCCTGCACTCTGCGTAAATGTGTTTGGGAGTGCGTGAAAACAAGCGTTCCTGTGCTGGTACACGAAATACCATTTTCGGCAAACTCGTACAATAGGACCAAGTCGGCAATGGCCTCCGCTGTCATGTAGCAGTTCATGGATGTTTTTCTCTTTTCACTGATGAGCACAACGAGGTTGAGCCCGTTGCCGATGGTACAGAGAACCAGCAAGATGGGATAGCTGACGGCTTCGAAAATATAAGCCTGATATATCTGGTTTTTGGTCCAGTTGCCCGATCCGGATACGGTTTGTCGCCACTGGTCAGTATCAGCCTTTTGCTTGATAGTGACAACCGAAGCAAGCGTGCTGTTGCATAATAGGGTAACGACATCCGTCAGCGGTTGGTTAAATAAAGAACTGTTCATGGATGATGTCAATTGCCAACAGTTTATGCGGCACTGCCAAAGATACGGTTGCAGTTCCCTGGCGTATCGACTTATTGTACGAAAGTTCGAGGTTGTTTACCAAAAACAGGTTGACTGTTGTCGTGGTCAGCTTTCTATCCGTAGTAGCACAGAATGGAAGTCGAGCAACAGTTTCACCTTAAAAGAATTCAACTGCATCACATAAAACGTACACTACGAGTACATTGACGTCGACTCGAGTCTCGGGTAATTAAAATATTAATATTATTAAAACTGTCTAAAGGTTTAAGAAAACTTTTGCACTCACGTTTATTGGAGTGACACAGTAATAAGATGAGAATTAGGATAAACTAATTCTAAACAACGTCACACTCGTTGTGATGTTAACGTTTTTTTATTAATTATACTTATTATCAATGCTTTGGCACGGCAAAAGGCTGCCAAAGTATTTTTACAAACATTATACTGTTATTTAGATTTCAGGATCTTATCAAGCAGTAAGTATTTTATAAGATTTCTTATCAAGCAGTAAGTATTTTATAAATCATAAAAGCCATGCTGTAGCAGATGCGCTGACGTCAGGTCGACTTCATCGTACTTGAAAATCTTGGCAAACTCTCTACAAAATTAAAAAAAAAACAAAATTTACAGACGAAAATTCTGCTGCTTATCAAGGCTATCAAGCCACAAAAACGATAGAAACCTAATTCATCAATCAGCCAAGCAATTCGCAATAAATGAAATGTATTTTATTTTCTAAATTTAAGAATGAATGTCGTACAAGAACGACTGGTAAAAAGCGCCATTTCGAATAATTATTAACATCGTTAGCCAAAATTAAACGACTCCAGTATGATAGTACTTTTACATACCAACCGATGATGGAAATAATGAAAATGAAGCTCAGTTATTATGTACTTCTTTAATACTATGAGTACAGCAGCCAACATCACATTAGTTCCAATGGAATCTACAGTAGCAGAGATCCTCTACAGTCCAAAGACAGAATATGCCGTAATATTAAAGATATAAAGTAGCATGGAAATCCACACGCACCTACCACTCTGTTAAAGCACGCTGTTTTGCTTCTGGGGTCGAAAAGCCCCGAAGAATCGGCGCAAAGTAATCAATTCAACGTGAATAAATTTTGACGTTTATACCCAAAATTTGCCGAAAATGCAAGCAATAAATAAAGGTTTACCGGCAATTCAACCGGTTTTACCTGCTTAGATTTTTTTCAAAAAGATTTTGCAACACCAGTAGGTTTTTTGATGAATTTGGGAAAAGTCGTTAACTGGTCGCTAATTTAACTGTTTGTGAATTGTGATTAACTTGATAACATTTTAATTACATATCATATACGCACATTTCTTGTGTAGAGCAAAAAATGCATTGTAAGGTGCTGAATACTTTCAAACGCCCCTTTTGTTCGTTTGTTCTCTTTAAAAATTTGGAATAAAATAAAATGCATTTTGGCAGAATTCTAGTGTTCAACTTCGAAAAGTGTTTTATTTCAAAGGAGAGAGGCAATACAGTACAGTATATGGATGGATGAACCGCTAGAAACTAAGTCTTAACGTGTTTGTTAAGACTAGAGCACAAAAACACAAATTAAAACAAGCATTGTGCATAGTAAAAAGATTTTGTTGCGGCGAATATCAGATGTGTGTCAACTCGGTATCACTTATCTTCACACTCTCGATCATTTTTATGCATCTCGCTCTGTGTCCTGCGCATTACATGATGTTCACGGCTATTACGGTCCTTATCTTCTATCGACGGTTTTCAATTTGGTGATCTCTGACTTGTACACAGCAGCCCGCGCATTTCGGGCGCCATCCCGCCGGAAAGGTCGCCACAAAGTTGCTGCTGGTATCTTTGGCGTTTACAGCGGAGTATCAGTTTTCAGAAATTTTCTCTTCATTTAAAGCCGGGAACGCAGCCATACAAGCAGCAAAGCGCCATTGGCATATATGGTAGCATTCTACATATTTGAAAGCAAGTAAATCTTGCATGACATAATACACTCGTACTCGAAATTTTTGTTACCGTATTATCTGCAAAACCAGAAACACTTTGCCTGGCAAAAGGATTCAACAACCCCTATGAGTGGTTCTTTAATTCGCAGTTATGTGCTCTCACTTTCCCGATAATTTCTTGTCATTTCGCTTTGTGCCCTGCGCAGAACATCAAGCTCGCAGCGGTTACGGTCCTCATCTTCCACCGCACCGACGGCCTTCATTCGGATGAGTTGCGGCTTGTCAGCCGCAGCCTGCGGATTTCTGACGCTCGCAGCACAAATGCGGCTGCTGTCTCTGTATTTATAGACGTGTCTCCTGAGCCCTTCTGGACAGAAAACACCAGCGAAGAGGCGGATGAACTGCACCCGATATCGTTCACTGACGGTTAAATACAGAAAGAAATTGATAGAATAATTAACCGAGAAGAACGTTTGGCAAAATGGTGTGGCGAAGCTTTTGGCTGACTTGTCGAAGTTGTACGAATGATTGGTTTCGGCAATGATCAGAATTTTGTACACCAGACTCGGCAGCGTTGAGAACAGATAGAGGCCGGCACTGCCCAGTAACAGGTAGTTGCTGTTGCGAGAGCGCCGTTCCTCACCGGCGTTTTGAGCGGCACGCTGCTTCCCAGTGACCAACAGATGCTGACGCCGGATGGCAGCACGCCGGATGGCAGCGATAACCAGAAGGTTGATGATCAGTAAGCCAAAAAACTTGATGAACATCGCTACCATCTGCAGATAACAGAGACACATTTTATACACATATCTGAAGTCTTTAGAATTGTTTTCGACACATTTTGACGCATCCGAAGCGTTTCTTACAGTTCGAGAAATATCTCACAGTAAATAAAGCAGCGGGTCTTATTGCAGTTCATGGTAAGCATTAATGCATTTATGATTAACTACACTGCATGCTTCGGGCAAATAACGGGTGTTTTGGCCAGTGCAGCTCAGCCACGAACTTTGCAGTAGTACATGCTTTTATCCAGGCAAAAAAATAATGGTTAAAATACTTCGTATGCCATACAAATGCCTCAAACGATCTGGTTAAAAGCGCTCAGCCACTCATAGGCAGCAACAAAGAAATTTAAGTCATGCAAACTGAAAACATTTCCGGCCTCACCACAAGTGTCTTAATGCTCCATGCTGCGGTCACGTACAGTAATGTAACGAAACATGATAGGAATGTCAACTGACGAAAAGAAAGCTGAGGTGAACAATAGGAAAACGTCGCACTCTGATTATGTACTCAGCTAATTATTATCAGCAATTGTAATCCGCATGGCGTATGGCAGTCTATGGCAATGTCGTGGCCTATTATGGTGTTGTCATTGCTGGTGGATTTTGGTTTATGAGGAACGAAAGAGCAGAACGTTCGTTCCTTCTCACCGTGATAGTTTTCTAGCCTGACTCCACAAGAAACAGCTCAAGTTTACCTCTGCCATATCTTGCAGATCCGACCAGTTTTGCAGCCATCCCGGCGTCTGTGAGTACTTCCAGTTGTACCAGCCCTTAACGAAACTGCCTACAGAAAAAATTGAAGAAATGAAAAACAGCGCCAAGATGATAACGCGGGCTGTTGCGGCTGCTTGGAGCCGTTTGATGCTGAATGGTTGCGTGATGGCCAGCAATCGCTCCAAAGAGAACACTATCAGAGTCCTAAATATTACAGATAAAGACAGTTAACTCCGGTCAGGATTTCCTTACACATACGTAACAATTAACAACACCCCTGTATTGCGATGCGAAGAGTCGCCGAGGATTGTTTTTATTTAGGCTACTAGGAAGGTTGTTTTTACCAGTCGCACAGATGCAGAAATATTGTATTTTTTGTATCCATACAGTATACGGCACCACCATAGCTACAATTGACTTACAGTATTTCCGGGATTTTTGTACGGTAGCTCGAAGATGACACTCGTGTTCCAGATAACATACGGCATCATCGACCATCTGGAAACATCACCGATAAGTGTCATTATATAAGTGTGTAACTTTCTAAGAATAAACTTATCTTAACCTACCAACGCCGGGTACTAGAAGGAGTGGGAATACCGATCTGAAAATTGGTATTCCTCGACAAAAAAATTCAATTAAGGAAAATTATTTTTCGTGAAATTTTTCTGACCATAGGTCAACCAGGACACCACGATGCCAAAATGGCACGGATGGTAACTGAGCCAATTGGCACGGTATAGGTTTACTCAAATAGTAATTCACAAAAAAATCGCACAGGATCCGTAAGTAGCTTAAGTAAAAGAGCATGACGAGGGCTATGCAGCTAGGTAACTTGATTGGTCAAGATGACCACTGGTCAGCACATATGAAAATACATAAAACCACCAATCTGAGCCGGCATGACATAATGTGCTTGGCAAATAGTCAAAAAAACTTTGAAAACGCTTTGTGATCTAGGAAAACAGTATCAGCTAGCACCGCGTTTGCTATAACAGAAAGTTGTTTCTACAGAAGATGCGTCACATGGCACATAATCCTGCCTTGACCGCCCTGACAGATACGGTAATGCTTGCATTAATCCCTGTGCGCTGTTTGGACCAGAGCTGCCATGATATCGGTAGGGAAGCCATGGTCAACTACAGTCTGCACTACCTCGTAAGAGCACCTGCGTCCCGAAAGGAAGGCAGACGTTGCACAGTGCTATGTTAGGGATGTGTTAACCCTTTTACGATTTTATCAGAGACCAGATGTACAATTACATACGTATCTTAGGCCACCTTTTATTACAGTTGCTGTATCCATGTTGTTCTTGTCATTATTTTACCGCAGCAGCTAGCAGCAAGACTGATCTAACGCAAAAAGCACATTTTTTCACCACTACTGCAACCACGATTGGTCACAGAAATCGACGCTACTGGTGTACTGAAAGCAAGTTTTCGCATGTCTTCCATTGAGTGCTTCTGAGTGAACTGTAGGTGTATATCTGTTGTGTAAACGCTTCAGCATTCACAATTCGTACACATCAGACGTAACAGAAGTGACGGAAACACAGGACCGTGACCTGGTCTGCAAGGCGCCTACTGTCTGCCTGTCGGTCATGTTTGCGCCAAACGCCGATAAGGCATTAACAAGCCATCTATAACATTTTAATTTTTACACCCCTGTTGCACCTTTTCTGCACATTACAATTTGTGCAGGAGAGATGCATGAAGAGGTTCTATTGACACCGTATTGGTATAATACTTCAGTTTTCGCGCTACTGGTCTTTTTAGCAAATTTTTTTTAATTTTTTTGCCAAGAGTGACCAGTGGTCACTTTGATGACCACTAAATCCTTATCATTGAAAAGAGCTGATCATGTTAAGTTTTTTTATTGCACCTGCTGAATTTTACCTTTCTCCAAGATTTTTTTGCAGAATTTTAAAATTCTGGCATAAAATAGTATCAAACCCATGCGTGTCAAAATTGGCACAAAATTTTTCAAGGACCGTAGTCGGACGGTGTCCATCTACGTGTGTTTGACCTGTTCTTCTTTGGATGAAGTCCTATGAATACTTGAAGTGTGATTTTTTTCTTAATTATCTGATGCGGGACTCTCTCAGCCGGTAGCCAAGACCTCTGCGAACCATTTTAGCTCCGGTTTGGTGGACTTCAGTCGACCACCGGCCTCAACCAGTATCTGAATATTTAGTGTCATAATTTGTGACCGGCTCTTTAACATCTCTAGTTCACAATAAAATCATTAGTTAGGCTCAAGATTCAATCACGAAGATTTCAACGAACGAAATCTGTGACACACGCTTAAAAAAATCGCACTTTGAACCTTAACAAACAGCAAATAACTGCACGGCAATGATGCATCACATATCTGCATCGAGCGGGCAATTTTGAGAGCGGCAAATCGTGCAGTTAAGAGAAAGCGCAGTTTTGTTTTCTATGATGGCACAGCTTGCATTGGACTTATTACAGCAGAACAACAGCGCAGAAAATTAATTTAAAAATGTCGCGAGTTAATGAACGCCTTCCGGCTATCAAATTACTTGAGCATATTATATTACGTGACTACTTGGATTACTTTAATGATAGTAGTAGTGAGTCCGGAGACTCTGATAACAGTAGCAGCGATTCCGATAGTGAAGACAGCAGCGATGATGAATTTTCTGATTTAATTTCGCCTTTGATGTTGCGTTTCTACCTGGATAATGTACGGTATGTTGCGAGGTCGTTTGTACCAAAGAACACCGCCTTCTACGATGACCTTCTGTTCAGCCTGGATGAAAGCCGGTTTCGACAGGAGATGCGGATGTCGCGAGCAACGTTTGATGCCGTACTTGGCCGCATCATCGACCATCCAATTTTAAAGGCAAGTCCAATCACTGCCAAGCACCTGTCGCCAAACAACTCGCAGTAGCCCTGTGCCGGTTCGGTTCATGCGGAAATGCCGCTGCTGTCGCAACTGTGGCTCGCAAATTTGGGATATCGGAAGGGGCTGTCGACTGGTTTACGAAGCGTGTTATTGTTGCGATTGTATCCCTAGAAAAGGATATGGTACGGTGGCCAAGCACAGCAGAGAAACGGATAATCAAGAAACGAATTAAAGATAAGTGTCATTTTCCCAGCTGCATCGGCTTCGTTGACGGTACCGACATTGTCCTTGCCGCGAAACCTTCCTTAAACGGTGAGGACTACTTCAACCGGAAGAAGCGGTACGCTTTATCTGCCATGATCGTATGCGATTATTCGAAGCGAATCATTTATACGTCATGTGGCTTCACCGGCTCTGCTCACGATAGCCGTGTTTACAAGAGCACTGACCTGTACCGGAACCCGCGCAAATATTTCAGAAAGGATGAATACATTTTGGCGGATAGCGCTTACGCAATCAGCACAACAGTTTTGCCGCCATACCGGAAATCGGAAAAGCGCAAAAGTTTGGCTAACCGGCGCTTCAACAAGCAGCATTCAAAGACTAGAGTACGTGTAGAGCACTGTATCGGCATGTTAAAAAATCGTTTTCAGTGTTTGAAAGGACTAAGAAATGTAATTACTTGTCAAAATGACCACGCTCGTGCTGTTCTATGGTTCCGCGCATGTGTAGTATTGCATAATTTTTGTATCGAAATGAGCGATCCATACGAGATACAGTGGGGGCAGCTGCCACACGAAGCGTCGAACGAACCGGGAAACCAAGCACCAGATTTAATTCCTGAAACAGAAGAAGGGCCGCAGAAAAGAGAACGAATGAAAAACGCGGTTTTAACTAGTATGGCAGAATAAAATAATTATGTATACAGGTGTAATTTTTAACCGCGATGCAGTGCTGATGGAAATAAAAAAGTGGAAAATAATTAAGCAGTTGTTCGGTATTTAATTAAAACAGCAAATTTATTCTTACAAATCCAAACCAGTTTCTCTTGACCTTAGTCGAAGTTCCATACGTCTGTTTTCTGCCTCAATTAACCGGATCTTTCGTTCCTCCGCTTCTCCTTCCAGTTGTTTTTCTTGCAGCTCCAACCTTTTTCGTTCAAGTGCAGATTTTTCCATGGCGCGCATGTTTGTGGATTCCATTTTCTTCTCCAACCGAGACGATCGGCCCTTATCCAAATGCATAAGCGTTTCCGAAAACAACATCGTAGCTTTTGCAGCTGGTGGTTTCTTCAACATTTTCTTTTGCGGTCCATTAATTTCTTTTATATGACGGGCAGAAATTTCTCCGTCAGAATCTGAACTTGCGTCGCCCTCCAGACGCTTGTCGGCATGGCTGCGGTGATCTTCATCTGGGCTTGCAGTCTGTTTGGTCGCAGTACTACTGCTGGACGATGGCTGTGCCGGCGGCGTTTGTGGATCCGCGTCGGCGCTATCGTCGATGTCAGCATCTGTCCCATCTGCTCCAGGGTACATAATTTCTTGCGCGCTCACAGCTTCCACGCCTGTCTCTTTTACATATGGCGGCTGAAACGATGCGCGAAGGCTGAAGACCGGGTCGAGGTCGTAAAAATAAGGGAACATCTTGATTAGAACATCTGCAATTATACATGCTATTGCAAATGATGCGCACGTGAATGTATGAATTAATGTGCCTGTATGTATTTATTTAAATTCTTTATTCTGTACATGTTCTGTATGCATACTGTGTATTATTCACATAATTATACAGTATACTGTATACCTGAAGTACTACGCAACCCTGCATGTACTATAGTATGTACTATCATGCTATGTACAGTATTTAAATGTTTAATCCGTAGTGTCAACGACCATTAATGAACACTGCAATAGTTAACAGCTCTGACAACACATTTGGTGCTATCAACAAAAAACGTTGACAAGTTAATAAAAAACAATTTTTTTTAAAATTTAAATTTCATTCATTTTGCTTCATTTCCCAGTTTTATGGTTAGTTTAAACTGTCTGCTATAGCAGAAACAAATTTTAAAGTGATGACATTTTAAAGTTGTTAAAAAGATGATAAAGTGTGTTGCAACACTCAGTCAGACAATAATAAGCCCGAATTCAGGAGAAACTTTCATTTTTAAATTTTAAAATTTTTTAAAATAAGTTTTTGCGTTTGTTTATTTACCTTTAATTTTGTTCGACTGCAGCCTTCCTGCGCGATCCAGGTCTGGCTCGATGCCTGCGCCGGTGTTGTTTAACCAGTCGTTTGCCGCTTTGTATCTTTGCTCGAACCATTGTATCTTCAGCTTGAGTTTTGGCCATCGATCCGCTCCTTCTTACAGGCCGTAGAAATATGTAAGGAGATGGCACGTGCTACAGCTATCTTGGTTTCTCCGCTGGTCTTCTTTGTTGCATTCTCCGGACCAGCAGCCTGTCCAGCTGATTTCCATCTTTCATAGTTGGTCAAATCAGTAAGCCAGTCCACCAATGCTCTCTCCTCCTCCCTTGACCATCTTTCATAAGCGCGCACGCCGGCATCATCTGATCGAGCGGGAGGATTATCTGGCAGCGCCGGTGAAGCGGAGACTGGGAGAGCAGACTGGGCAGAAGTGAGAAGCGGAGCTGGCATGATGCGTGGGGTTTGTGCTGCAGTCGCTCTGGCCTTCTTGCGAGCTGGTTGCGATACTGTTGCTGGTTTAGGAGGCATGGCAGTAATTAGATAATTGTAAGCAGCAATTTTGGCAGTAGTTAATAATCCAGTGAGAGTGAGTGAGAGTATTAATGATCGTAATTAATTTCTATAAGAAAGTAAATACACCAGAATACAGTTTACGTAGACTGCGTTTCACTTCTAGTTTGGTGCGTGCTTTTGTTGTCTGAGAAAATTATCAACTTTGGCGCCTTTGACGCTCGAATATGCTACTCTCGAGTAGCTTTTTCTAGAGCAACATTTATGAATATTTGGGGCGTGGATACAAACGTGCAAAAGACACATCATCGCAATATGGACCAGTTATGAGAGCTTATCTTATCTCGTGCGTTACTCAGCTTTTGCAGAATTCTCACAATTGCTAGGATTTCCTAAATTTCCGGTCTATTTTGAACCGGACTATTCAGACTTTCCTTACTGCATATTCTACCGCTACAGAAATTAAAGTTCGCCACTGTGCCAATTGGCATGCATGGTGTCGACCGGGTTAAGGAAAGTGACATGGATTATGGTACCAATTTCGTGCACAGGCAGTGACACCTCCATTTTCACGAACTCTCATACACTTTTTTGGGTTGTTCCATGAAGTCTGGAAATTGTACAGTAACTCAATGCCAAATGACTTATAGACACTGACAAGAGAACCGTTTCTGCGCGCAGGGTCGAGTTGGGACGAAATGGGGAACATAAAATTCCGTACGGTTAAAATTGGAAACGGCTCTAATTTTCTAACTTTGAATGTAACTTACCGAAACTTTGGGTTCCATATAAAAGTTTTGTTTACGCTTACGTGTGTTCATGTTGGAAAGGTTTAGAACATGGTATAAAGTGAGGCTTACACATCTGTTAGAGTTTAAACAGTCAGGGTTTCATTAAACATCTGGTAGGGTTTAAACTTTTCAGGTGTGTTGTCATCAATGTTGCTCCTTACCGGAAGTTGCACGCAAAAACGGTTTTCACATTAAGCTTTTTGTTAAAGTCATCTGCCTACACTATGCAGAAATATATTTAGGAGAGCGTGAAGCGAGCGTTCCTGTGCGGGTACACGAGATATCCTTTGGTCGATGCTGCGTGCACGGGAAAACACGGGTGTTGGTTGCTTGCACGGGTGTCGACACGGGTGTTGGATGCGTGCACGGGTGCTGGCTGTTTCAGGATACTCATGGAGGCCGTTTTAATGTACATTTTCGCTTCTAACATGCATGGTCTACGAAACTACTGTACTTCCGTATATTATGGCTTTTTGGAACTCAAAAATACCCATATAAATGGACATCTTTTGGATGAAGAAAACAGGAACGTTTTCTTTCTCGAATGGAACCGGGTACCACTTACCTGTATTTCTGTTAAAAAAGTATGGATTTTGTGACGAAATTCTATAGCGATTATATAAAAATCCGAAGTAAAGGAATATAAAAACGTTAAAGCATTAGTAAATAAATTTTAGTTTAAAAAATTTAAAATTAAATAAACTACCCGTGCCCACAGCCAAAACCCGTGCGGACCCAAAAAGGTCACCCGTTCACGCAATCAACACCCGAGTTTACCCGTGCACGCAGCCATAATGATACCATTTTCGGTAAACTCGTACAGTATGACTAAGTCGGCAATGGCCACCGCTGTCATGTAGTAGTTCATGGATGTTTTACGATTTTCACTGATGAGTACAACGAGGTTGAGTCCGTTGCCGATGGAACACAGGGCCAGCAGGATGGGATAACTGACGGCTTCGAAAATATAAGCCTGACATATCTGGTTTTTGGTCCAGTTACCCGAATCGGATACGGTTTGTCGCCACTGGTCAGGAACTGCCGCTTGCTTGGAGCTGGCAACCGGATCAAGCGTGGTGTTGTATAACACGGTAACGACATCCACAAGTGTTTGGTTAACTGCACTGAAACCCGAACAGAGCGTGTGCTGCATTTTAGAGCTGGATACGTGGTGAGATTCTTTAAAAATGCCACTTTTTCAAAACAGTGAATTAGGAAACAAAATCAAATCAAGGAGTAAAACTACAGTGGTAATGGATAATACAGAACTCGCAAAATAAATTTATCAGTGTAATGAGTAATCGGTAACACCATATGCCCAGCAAGACGGCAGTACGGCAACACATGCAATAATGTCAACCGTTACTTAAATTCGTGTTTGGCCACGCCCACTGGACCATTGCCGATGAAAGTATTTTTTTAAGTGTTCCCCATACCTATTGTGTCTTCAAACAAAAAATGAGATTTTTCTGAGGGGGGAGGTGGTGACCGAGCCCTGGCAAGTCGTATAAGCCACGCTGTAACAGAAACGCTAATGTCAGGTCGACTTCATCGTACGTGAAGGATCTTAGCAAGCTTTCCTCAAAATTAAAAAAAAGTTACAAACTAACATTTTGCTGCAGGTTTAGCAAGCCACAAAAGCGCTAGATATTTTTAACAAGTAGACAAGCACTTCACAATTATTATTTCATAAATCTGAGAATGGATCTGGTACAAGGATGGCTGGCAAAAAGCGCCATTTAGAATTGATAACATTATTAGCCAAAATTAAACGACTACGGTACGTATAATAATACTGTACTTTCACTTACCAACCTATGATGAAGATGATGAAAGGAAGATTAAATACTTCTTTAATAATATAACAGCCAAAATGACATTATTTCCAACAAGATCTACATACATAGTAAAGACCCTCTAAAGTCTACTTAACGCCTTTGAGAAAGAACGTACGGTGATATTAGGGATCTAAAGTACTTGTAGCATGAAAATCCACACGCACCTACCAGTCTGCTACAGCACGCTGTTTTGTTTCCGAAGTCGGAAAGCCCCGAAGTATCAATGAAGTAATCAATGCAACGCGAATAAATCTTGACGTTTGCACGTTGCACCCAAAATTTGCCGAAAATGCAAGCAGTAAATAAAGGTTTACCGGCAATTCAACCGGTTTTACATGCTGTAATTTTTTCCAGATAGAAAGAGCTTGTGAAAAACCAAAATATTTTTTGATGAATTTGGAAAAAAATCGGTAATTGCTGGTCAATATAACTGCAGTCCGCGATAGTACCTTCGCAACGTTTTACTTACATACTTCTATCGATGATATCTTATACGCATTTCTTGTGAAAAGCAATGAGTGCGTTGCAAGGTGCTGCATACTGAATTTAATTACGTATAACAACTGTGCAGCTATGTACGGTATGATACTGATATTCTGGTATCACGGTTAGATTACAGAAATCAAATTTCCGTGATAGTAGTACCGCGTTTCCATAGTTCACTTTTCGAAAACTGGGAACAAAATGAAGTGCATTTTGGCAGAATTCCAGCGTTCAACTTCGGAGCATATTAACCGAAAAGTATTTTATTTCAAAGGAAATAGGCAACAGCGCACACAGATGGATCACACCGCTAGAAACTAAAAATTTTTATAAAGGTCAGAGTACAAAATCAGAAAAGAGAATCATTGTGCATCGTAACAACTAACAAGCATTTGTTGCAAGGGATATCCAATGTTTGGCAACTTGGTATCACTTATCTTCACACTCTCGATCATTTCTAGGCATCTCGCTTTGTGTCCTGCGCATTACATGATGTTCACGATGATGACGGCCTTTATCTTCTATCGCGTCGACGGTCTTCATTTTAGTGATCCCGGGCTTGTACGCAGCAGCCCGCGCACTTCGGGCGCCATCCGCCGGAAAGGTCGCCACAAAATTGCTGCTGGTATCTTTGTATTTATGGGCATTTCGCTTGAGCCATTCCGGACAAAATACACCGGCGAAGAGACGGACGAACTGCACCCGGTATCGTTCACTGACGGTTAAATACAGAAAGAAGTTGACAGAATAATTGGCCATACTGGAGCTCAGGCAGAAAGGTGTGGCGAATAGCTTAGCTGTTTTATGGAAGTTGAACAACTGATTCGTCTCGGCCACGATCAGAATTTTGTATACAAGACTAGGTAGCATAGTAAACAGATAGAGACCGACACTGCCTATTAACAGGTAGTTGCTGTTGCGATAGCGCCGTTCCTGACCGGCGGTCTGCGCGGCACGCTGCTGCCCAATGTCCGATAGATGCTGGCGCCGGATGGCAGCGATAACCAGAAGGTTGATGATTAGTAATCCGAAGAAATTGATGCATGTCACCACCATCTGCAGATAAGCAAACCAGTTCCATGTGCATACTCGTATTTCAAACATCATATTTCGAGTCAGCAGAAGTTTTGATTTTACATGGACGCCGTAATCGGTAAAGTAATCGCCGCATTTGCCAGATAAATGAAGTTCAGAACCACGTCGGGTTTATCAAAGATCGTAAAGCTGTGCTAACGTATGGGAAGAGGAATGCAGAGCGCAAATTATACAAACAAAATAAGGAATGCGTATTGTGTCCATAAAAGATCGCTCTCGTATGGACAGCAGTGAGGCGCTCCAGCAGTCTGAACTAACAGAAATCTTGCCTCAGTGTTGTTATTTTTTTACAGCAGCCAGATAATGGAACCCTACGCGGCGGCCTGATCTCTTCTGGTCTGGTGATTAAGATTGGGATGAAACGATTATGCATACCTCTGCCTTGTCTTGTACGGCCGACCAGTCTGCTAACCATTCAGGCATTATGGAGTACATCCATGGATACCAGCCCGCAACATAATTGTTTACCGCAAACGCCATTGATAAGACAAACAAAACTACGATGACGATGCGGGCTGTTCTGGCTGACTGGAGCCATTTGATGCTGAATGGTTGTGTGATGGCCAACAATCGCTCCAAAGAGAACACTATCAGCGTCCTAAGTATTACAAATAAACACGGTTATTTCCGGCTGGTAACTCCTACACATACTTATATTGTATGGCTGTTTATATTAGGTTAGGAAACTGTTTTTTCACCAGTCACACAGATGCAGCAACGTCTCCTGTGCCCATATGGTATATGGTAGCACCATAATAAGGATCTTTTTATTTCTGGGGACGTAATGCGGAAGTAGAAGAGTAGCGCTCGTGTTCCAGGCATACAGCGGCATTCCCATCCATCTGCAAACATCATCAACAAGTATAGTTTGTTGAAAAGCAACTCTGCCTTAAAGCAATAAATGGAGATGAATAAATCGATGAATGAATGCGTAGCGTGCAAGATAATCGTAGTACGGATACATAGTAGCCTGTTTAAAAAGCCGTCTGACGTTCGTTTTTTTATTGATTATCGTTTACTCCGGACACTACATCGCACGGTCTTTTTGCTGTTTAATATTTATAGCTTATATCGCGAAAGTCAACAATAAACAAGGAAGAAACAACCGCGGCGGTGAAATTACATCCCGATTAGAGGAAGCCAAGATATTACCGGCCTGTTTCACTGGGATGGCCGTATATGCATTCAAAAGAGCCATCTCCCTCAAGGGAGCACATGATACATCGGCAGCTTTAATCGGAGCAAACCCCGAAGATGCCGCTTCTAATTACCATATAAGGGTAATCAGGCAGTGGTTACGGATAAATGTGCGTGCTTTCTAATTAGCCGGGAACGGGCAAACCCCGATAATTAACTGTCAGCAATTTTCAAAATCTCGTTCAAGGGCACTAAGACCGTTAAGATTTTCAAGGCCAGATTTAAATGAACAGGAAGCACAGGGAATTTCATAACAGTTTACCCTAGAGCTGGTGAAAGATTAAGAAAATTAAATTAAATTCAAAATAGTTCAACAGAAAAAACTTTTTCTACGTATATATGGTCCAACAGATTTTCGCCGAAAATTTCAGCATGTTTTTTGGAGCAATCGATTTCAGCAGTTTTGATTTCAGCATGTTCTGGGCACCATGGGTTTGACAAACTATGAATCGAAAATTGGTTAAACGTAATGTTTACATATAATACACTGCGTGGACAATCTCTCGATTTTGTAGCGGCAGGTACGGGATAAGAAAGAGGAATACTGGGATTTAAAATAATTTCGGATTTGTGTATATAAAAGGAATAATAATACGAGGGTTACTCGGAAAGTAATGATAATCAGTATCAGTTAATAATCATAAAATTATGCACTGATTTTTTAAAAACTGTAGCATTCATAACTAGATCATAGGGCAATGGCCGTGGCCATACCGCCTAAGGTTGGCGGCTAGCAAGGCTCTGAACATGGCTGGGTAGCGCTGATTTTTCACTGATCACTGAAAGCGTTGCCTTAATTACTGGCCAGTTTTCATGATATTATTTTGAAAAATTGATTTGCAGAGAGAAGTGTAGAATTTTTCATGCTGTATTGCCTGTTCTGTCGCCTTAATAAGGACCATTCTTTGCTGATGTTGCCAGTTGGTTCCAGCGAACTCCCACCGAGCACTCCGTTTTGACAACGGTGCTCAAATTTTGGAATATTTTTTGAGTTTCCACTTTCGAAAAGTAATCATAGTCAAAACCCTGATCGAGAAGGATCCTTTTCCGACCCCGAAGCAATAGCAGAGGGTCTAATCATTATGGAAGGAAAGGTGTCGAGAGTGTGCTGCAGCTGCTTACTGATAACGCAGAAGAAAATGGTTTCTGGCACGGTATCATCCGTGTGGTGCAATATCGCGAAAATCCACAGATAAGCACCCCGTCCCTGATTTATTTTTTTTCTCGGCCTGGAGTAAAATTATCGTTCCACATTATTTTTCTTAGTTTACCTTAGTCCTTTATCTGTTCCAAATATTTCCTGGCTTGAAAAAATTGTTGCGGGGCAAAAAGTTTGAAATTATGAATAACTGGAAGAAAATATCAGTACACCGATCTCTAAGATACCGCCTAATTTCTTTTCGAAAACGTTTGATGAGTGGCTGTTTAGCTGTTTGCGTTGTATAGAGATTAAGGGACATTGTTTTGAGAAAATACGAGGAAAGCGCTGATGCAATAAAAAATCGTGCGATAGTTATCATTACTTTCCGAGTAACCCTTGTAGTAGGGGAAAGAATTTTGTGAGTGTATGAAGGACATGAGAGGTTGTGGGTGTTTCTTTACTACAGTTGAGACCTTGAAAATTGCGCGTTTAATCTGTAACCTTCCATAGGTTTACACAGTCATTTTGGTGGTAGTAATTTGTGTAGTAGTAATTTGTGTAGTTAAGAAAGTTGATTGCTTAATGGAGCGAACTATTATGTTTTGCACTGATAGTCTTGGATGTGTAGTAACAGGTAGTTTGTATATGGGATGTAGGCTGGGACGCACATTAAAAGGTTGTTCGAGAGAATGTTTGGTTTAATTGGTTTGTTGACTGGATTTTTTAGTTCGGTGGGTATATTAGAAGTTGAGGAACGTTGTGTTTGAGTTATTATGGATTTGACGAAGTATATGCAGTGAGGAGAATGTTTTTCTTGTTGGTTATTTTCTGGTGGCCGGTTTAGATTTTCGGAAGCGTACTGATTCAGGCTGTTGTGTTTTGTTTGGCTTTGGTCTTTTTAGGTTGAGTATAGTTTCGTAAGTTTGCTTTCATAGATAGTTTCTTTTAAGTATTGTTTTTTTTTAATAAAATAATGGAAACTGGTTGTGATCGCAAGAAATACACGCGTGAGTATGAGCGTGATTATAGAAAAAAAACCGCAAAACGGAAACTGATGGTAATTGTAGCAAGGAAGATAATGAAGTAGTGATGATGTTAGACATGAAAATGTGGAGTTAAAAACAAAAATGTAAACTTAACAGGCTCAACAAAACACAACAATTCAGGACAAAATCGTAAAGTAGTGCTTAAGAAAAGATCCGGACAACCATGACACATTACCATACTCCGCAAATGTCGTTTAGCATGTTCCCTTTACAAAAATTGTCCAATAATTGTCCAAAAATTCTCCAATAATTTTTTCCAAACATACCAGAAAACACACCACCTGTAGTATTCCGATTACATTTTTGTTTTTTAACTTTTACATTCTCATATCTAACATCATCACCACTTCCACATTATCCTCCCTGCTACAATTACCATCAGTTTCGATTTTGCATTTCTTTCTATAATCACGCATATACTCACGCATGTATTTCGTACAATCACAACCACCTTCCATTATTTTATTAAAAAAAGAATTCTTAAACGAAAATAATGTATGAAAGAAAACTTACTAAACCATACTCAACCTAAAAAGACTTACCAAAGCCAAACAAAAGACAGCAACCTGAATCAGTAAGTATCCACAAATCCACACCGGCCACCAAAAACTAACCAACAAGAAAAACATTTTGCTCACATATACTTCGTCCACTCCATAATAACTCAAACACAAGATTCCTCAACTTCTTATATACCCACCGAACTCAAAAAATCCAGTCAATAAACCAATTAAACTATACATTTTCTCGAACAACCTTTTAATGTACCTACCAACCTACTTCCCATATACAACCCACCTGTTCCTACACATCCAAGACTATCAGAGCAAAACATAATAGTCTGCTCCATTAAGCAATCAACTTTCTCGAAATTTCTTGAATTTTTCACAATAATCCATCACTATCCACAACCCGCAACACACTCCACTTCCTGTAACACTTCATTAAACACTCAAATACGAACAACCAGAAAGTCGAATATATTTATACCCTACTATAGTAAAAATCCCTTTATCCTCACCCAAATTCAATGTAGACCCTTTTTTCGCTACACTGGATTAGTACACCCTTTCTTCATTATCACTTTTCGTCAAACATATCACCTTTAATATAATTTACTATATTATTAAATTCTCTATTCAGCACTTTATATTCCTACCCCTTATAATCTCCACACACAATATGCTTCTGCATTGTGCTCCTACATATGTAGGAGCACATATATATAGGAGCACATTGCAATGTGCTCCTACATATGTAGGAGCACATTGCAGGAGCATATCGGATTACGTTTGTTTGGGTGCTACAATTCCGTTTTTTCTCCTCCAAGAACCGATGAAACCGATGCAATGTGCTCCTGCATAATGTACGAGCACATTGCAAGGTGCTCCTACATAATGTAGGAGCACATAATGTGACCTAAAAAAGATGCCGAGCTAACAACGCCATCTACAAGTTTCACGCATCGTTACTCGACGCATGTCACATGACTCATGCCACATGACTGTTAGGCCCCACCGCTTCCTTCAACCGGCCGGACCCTTCCGTACTCTACGGGCGCCAAAAATTACTTTTGTTTACACACGGATATCGAAGACCAAAAACCGAAACTACAGTTTCATATATGCTACGACTGATTCTAGTCGTATACCGCATATAAGAACCTGTCACGGTTCAATGAACCTGCCGCAAAATCTTCTTGTCTCAAAGCATCAGGAAAAGCTTGTGGACTCATGAACGATAAACTGACTCTACAGATTACAGTACAGCGTGCATACGGCCATCGATCGCTTGCACAGATAACTGTCGGCATGCGTACCAACATTTTCTGTACACATGCAACAACGCACAAATAGATCATTTAAAAAGCTCTTTATTATTGAAGCAATTACTTCTATTATATGGGAAATATATTTTATATATTAGTTTTTAGTGACATACATACAGTATGACAATATCGGCAAGGGCCACCGCGGTCATATAGCAGTTCGTGGACGCCTTGCGCTTCTCACAGATCAGTACAATGAGATTGAGCGTGTTTCCGATGGTGCAGGACGCTAACAGCAGCGGATATAAAACAATATACAGCATATTAGCGTCGTCGCGTTGCTGTTTGGTATAATTCCCTGACCACGGGGCAGTCTGGCGCCACGCCTCGGGGTCATTAACCGGCATCTGGCTGGCCGAACTATTCAGTAAGGTTGCACCAAATCCGGCTGATACGTTCTGCTGCCATACGGGATGGGGCATGTTAGTCCAGTGCGACAATCCCGCGGTGAGGTTGGCAAGGAATTCCCCGGCGGTACCGTTATTAATAGTAAATGCCATGATTTACGTCTGATTGCGACGATAGGACTGATTACTTGGGGAATGTTGTCGGGATTCCCGTGTGAAGAAGACCCTTCCAGAGTGTCAATCACCTAACGCAGATGCCGGGTTATTAATTTTTATAAAGCGTACAGACAAAAGGACATCACGCTGCTACTGTATATATGCAGACTAAAAAGCGGTTTGGCGTGATGTGTAAAACGCTGCATCAATCAGCCCGGCACTGCGTGGCCGTAGTATACATAAAATGTGTGAATAGTCGGCACTTACCCGCAGCGATAAATGGTCGCTAATGAGCGTGCTGCATTTCCATATTCCAGTTTTATCAATTTTCATGAACGATTATCCTCTTAATTGTATCCACCGGCTAGGGTAAATCCCCGCAAAATGACACCGCAGTGCTTACTTAATAACGATGCTGCAGAACCAGCATATATAAGAGTGAAACCAAGCCATTCATTTGAAATTTATTAAAAAAATTATAAACTTTCTACGTATGAAAAAACGTTTCTGCACCTTTACAGGCGTTTAAGATGGGTACTTATAATCGTTAACCAAGTGCCTAAATACACAATAATACGCTCAGCTTGCAGAGGGATGATTAAGCAATACAAAGAGACATTCAGTGAGTTCTGCCGGTTTCTTGATCGTGAGTCCGTGACGTATGTAGGCGGAAGTGGCGGTTAGGCCTGGATCGATCAGAGGCGGAGTCCAGCCGTGGTCATGCCAGAACTGTGCTATTGTGCCGATATTCAAAGGAGCCCCCATGAAAGTGATGCGGAAAAACTATGCTGATTTGGTCGTGTTTCCGTATATTTCCAATTAAACTTTGCGCAAATTCGAGTGTTGCTATTATGTAGTTAGTTGGTCGTCTCTAAATCGCATCCCAGGTATGCGCTCAGATACGGACGTTTCATCGCTTGCGCACATTTTAACAGCACTTTGCAGAACGTCCAATTTTCCAACGGCGCTGGCGCGAAATCCGATCGACTTCGACCATTGAATTTCTAGCCAACTAAGCTTTTAATTGAAGGAGAAAAATATAATAGCATAAATTTTTTAAAAGTCGTTAGTTTCAGAAATCGTGCAGAATAAACGAATCCAGAATGCGCACGTTCGCATTCTGACCGCATCACTTTCGTGTGGGGAGTATAGTCGTTCGATCATTATTGCGCCGGTCAGCGTAGGATGAATTGTGGTTTTTATGCAAGTAACACATAAAAAATACTCTACGTACCTTTGTCTGTGCTACAACTAGTAACTGCTCTGCGGGATGGCGATATTGATGCGGTCCTGTGCTGTCGGTTCATAATTAGTGCACACATTTGAAGGTTATGATATTTCGTGGGATGATCGATATTTATTGTCTGCGTCTCAAACAACCCACTCTAAATTTCTCAGCATAACCGGAAATATCCCTAAACAATACAATATACACAAGTACAATAGCGTCAACTGCCGGAATAATAAACACCAACATCATGCACCGGTGCTCTTACGCTGTCTTTATTCTCCGGTGGAGACGTTGGCTTATTAGGCACCACTTGCTCGCACTGCCGGAAATAAAAATATTGAAAGAGCGAAATATGCTGGTTTTATTTCTAAGGCAGGCGGTAACGACAAGGAAGCAGATAAAAATTAAAACATTTGTGCATAAATATTAATTTATTCCTTTTCATTTTCCTACAGAAGAAGTATAATACCTACTGTAGTAAAAATAACAGAAGTATACGTGGGTGGACTAACATTATTTTTACAGAACAGTTTCTGGATCGAGTAGACAAAACTCAAGCCGCACTTCGCACTTATTACTCCGTTTAAATTAAGACCTGTCGGATGTGCAAAATATCAGATGACCTACGGTAAAAATTTTTTGTTCCACTAGGAACGTGCTGAGTAGTCTTTGCTAAAACTAAATCCGTTAGTTTGGGGGATGTCGACACGATATGCAGAGATTCCATGTGCATTGTACAGTACCTTGTGATCCCTACATTTATGCAACTGCGAGGTATACGGTTGCAGCTGCTGAACAGACATTTGTGGATAAGAGGCGGAAGCACAGCATAATATCTCTAACCACTGTTAATTTGTGCTGTTTGCAAGTGAAGCTTTCGAAACATCGGGTGAAGTGGCGCTAACTTTGTTACAGTGGCCGAAAAATGTTCTATATACAAAACCGGATCCATTCTTTTTTGTTTTTCTTTCAACCTTTGGCCTTGAAATGATACAATTTATCCAACAAAGCTCCAATCCAACAGCTTTTTTTAGGACATTGTACTTGTACACTGTGCAGTACTTGTTTTTGAGCGACACTTTTATGCTTTTGAGCGTTTTTGAGTGCTACTAAAGAAAAAAGCTATATACATACGGGGTATCATGGTTTTGATCATTTCTACGTGATCGGCAGTTCGATTCTCAGATGCTTCCATTTTACTTTTCGCACCACCCGCCATACTGTATATCAAAACCGGTCTGTGTTACTGTATTCTAATTAAATAAATTATTAATTTTGGTACTACAGATACAGTACATAGGTTTTGGCCTTTCAAGATAGATGTCCACCGATATCGTCAGCATACAAAGTGTGGAGCAGCCCAGTACGTGAAAACATCTTAGGTAACTGGTAACCTTATTTGCTGCAAAGTGTCTACGCATAAATGATTAACCAACAAGAAAAAAGAATTGCTTGAAGACAAAACTGCGCACGGTCGAAGTATCTTTTGAAAGCTCGTGCGCCAGAATAAACAGCTATAAAGTGTTAGTATAATTGCCGATGACACGATAACAGCACGTGAAACTAATGGATGGTGTTTCTGCATATCTATATTATTAAGGGGAACTGTCAGACTATCCCTCTGCGTCAACCGGGGGGGACATACTTTACACAAAACGGAAAGATGCCGAATAATCCGTCTCATCGACATATTATTAATTATGTACGAGCGTCTAATATCCATTGCGTCTGCGTATGCCTTTGCGTGCGCGCAAAGTCTGCAAGCTGTTAACATTTATTCGATCCAGGAAATAATCGGCCTCACAAAATCAGCAAATCAATAGGCGAAAAATGTCCAAAATACGTAAAATCGAACTGCAGCAGCGGTGCAGATTCTGGATGCTTAAAACTGCCTTGATACTCTGTAAAAGTTAAATGGGAAATCAAAAGTTGTGGGACAAACGTCAGTAAAGATGAAGAATGCCCGGTCAAGGAGAGTTATCTCCACCGCGGCTGCAAAATAATCATATGTTATCAACCCTTGCATTTTTGCAAAGGTGTATCGTGATAGCAGATTCCATGTCAAGATTTAGACTGCTTGGAGTTGTGGACAAGCGGCGTGCTGTTGATATTTTCGAGTAGAGGCATTTCGGGCAACGTACTTGCGAAACACTGAAAGAAAAGCCATATCGTTACACTGCGAGTGAAACCGACGTTACTCTGGATGGAAATTAAGGTCATGCCGCGCCATCTTTTACTCATTGGACGTTGAAACGCAAAAACAGCAGCCGAAAGTTTTATTTCACCAGTGGGCAAGGGTGGCATAGTCCCAAGTACCAAATAAACCAATATGTCGTTGGTATTCTTACTACGTCATTCTTACATTTGCACCCCTTATTGATCTTTGACTTATAACTATAACGTATACAAACCTATTAAATCTCAGTGTAATTTACATTAAACCTTGATACTTCACCTTTGTGCATTCAGATGGCGGGCACTGAAGAAGCACTACAGACTACAGTGACTACACAATGTGCCTCTTTTGCTGCTGCATGAAGCATTGGCTGCGTGTCACCGTTTGGGGCTCAGGTTCGAAGCGAATCTCGCTATGGTACGGTTGCTCAACCGCACGAGGTGGCTGTATGCAGTGGCCACGCCTACAGATACGGTACGCGAAGCCACCGCCGCGAGGTTGGATTGATGTATCGTAGCTAGATTTGCTTCGAATCCGAAACCCACCCTAATACTTAACTAGACCGATTCGCGACGTTATGTTATCCGGTTCAGCCATCGAGGGCAGGTCTTTCGGTATACACAAATATGTATCTTAGCTCTCCTCGCTGAGAATTAATACTGAAGTGCTGCCGGTAGTGCGTAGTGGGTTCCACTTGCATCCGTATCACATGCAAGGATCTACGGTTCGTCGGTAATTACCTAGGTCTAAGTTAATCAGATTCTCCCTAGCGTATGATTTCCACATAGTTGTACTGTAATTCCAACACAGAAGGGCACGAGCAAGGGCAGGAATAAGGAGAATGAAATCTATCTTTTTTCATGCGCAGGCAGCGTGGACAGGGCTATCGATATCACACCCAGAAGCGCCAAAAGATTTCAAAATATACAAAACTGCTTTGGCTCAATTTTAATTGTACAGGCGGTTGCCTCTGCAACTATTATAGCTTAATTTCAGTGATTGTCAACTGCAGCCAGAAGATTTTGTCGGCAGTATCCCTGGGAGAGCTTTGAAAAGTATCTTCCTCAAAAGCTAGTCTGTACTTTCTCCTACCCTCGGTATGCCTTCCTCAAGTTCCGCTTTAAAAAATAAGACACTTTATTAATTAAATGCTTTGCAATACTTGTACTCTCAATACTGCAAAATGACCATCCTGACTCACGTCAGCAGAATAGAATCCGAACTATTTGTGGAAGTTACGCTAATATTACCAACCAACATGATCCGATCATGATCGCGATTTATTTGGGATGGAGACTGAATCTGACTGAAAGATCACATTTCCAGTTTAATTGCTTCCCGACCTATATTGCGGCCGCTCCCTGTTGTAATTGCGCAACTACTGCAGCACATGACGACAACTAAATTAAGGTCAAAATGCTGTGCTAGGATAAGGAATTCGCCGGTACAATATTATGTACTTGTACTGTTATACATAGAATGTTTATATACCAGCTGAGCACGGATGAATATTGGCTTACGACGATTTTAAAAACTTATTATTTTCTTTGCAGTATATTGTTTAGCATGTAATTAGTTTCTCGAAAAGTCAGAATGGCAAAGCCAGACAACTGCTCAGGATGGTTGTCCGCGACGAGCGTACTGCGTTGTTGACCTTTAACCCTGGAGCTTGTTTTGTTTTTTTCTCGCGTGCTAGGTTTCTGTTCATTCTACTCAAAATTACCAAATTATTAAGCTATTGTCTGTTGATCGAAAACTTAATTTTAAAGTTAACAGTGAAAATGTAGCAAAAAAATGTAACCAAAGAATTGGCTACATTAATCATGTTTTTCGATACACGGACTACGGGGCTCGCATTCGGCTTTTCGAATCACTCGTCCTCTCAGTTCTCGATTACTGCTGCTCCCTAACGCATCCGGTGCTGAAACAGTCAAGAAAAATAATCGAACGTTGTCAAAGAAGATTTACCAAAACCCTACGCTTAGGCAACGGTGTCCTGAATTACAACAAACGGCTAAAAGAGCTAAAATGGGACGATCTAAGCATACGTCGTTTGAAAAAAGCCTTGTTGTTTATTTACAAATTGGTGTTCC